ATTTGAAAGGATTCAATATTATTTGTTTTAAATTAATTTTTCATGTTGTTTTAAATCAGCTCCGGAGCCATGAGTAATTCAGTTTGTTAAAAGTATCGGGTCATTACAGAAACCATGTGCCAGGATCCTCTCCAACAAACTTCAAAAACTTCAGCCTTGCTAACTTGGCGAGGAAAGTGTCGTCGCTGCCGCCCTTGGTTCCGTCGTTTCCCTTGGACTCGTCCCTAGTCGGTCCACCTTCCAGCTCGCCACTACTGCCGTTGTTGTTGTTGCCAGTCTTCACGCCATTCATGCCACCGTTCCGACCCCCAAACCCCTCCTTTGTCGACGACAAACACCACTCCCCTGCCTTCTCCCCCTCCTTCTCCTTCCCGCCAGCGCTCTTCGAGCTGTCTCGCCCAACAATTAAGCCCTTACCCTAGCCGACCCAAAAATTACCTAGGCCACTCGGCCCCTACCCCAATCCGCCACCCAAACGGAGACCTAGCTCCCCAAAGCACGTCTACTTAATTTAAGAGGTGAGTGTGAAGGGGGTAAAATCTATGTCGTATGTCTTTTAGTTTATGCTTTTCGTTCAAGTTATTAATTAGTTAAATTTTGAGTAATGCGCGATATGTGTGTGAGGCATCCCACCACTTATATGGGTGGAGGCACACGTTGTGCAATGTGTGAATGTATGATTGTAATAGTTGGTTAATGGTAAGATGAACCCCCGGGCGGTTGGGTCACTACTGGATGACGAGACGTAACGCAGTAGTTGACCGGGCATGGACTGGACGGTGAGACGTAACGCAGTGCCATTGCCTAGTTTGGGTATGCAACCAAACGGCGAGACGTAACGCGGTTGACCTACTAGGGTAGGGACACCGGACGGCGAGACGTTACGCGGTGGTCCCCAGTGTTGGTATCTATGAATTAAGAATATAAGTATTGAATTTCTAAAGATAAGTTTGGAGTAGAGATCTCTTATAGACTGTTTGATAACAAAGTATAAAGGATGAAAGCGAGAACGACATTTGTCTAAGTCAAGAATCCTGATAACGTGTTTAGTAAGGAGTTTCTTAGGGCAAAGACCTTAGGAAGTAACGGCGAGACTGACCCCTTCTCACTCACCAGGTTGAGAATTTTGAGGAGAGGCAAGGCGATGCGAGCAGCCGCACCAACATTGACGAGATATCAAGGACCCCACCGAGGAGCTAGAGTTAGTTAGTTATATTTTGTATTTTTGTTCATGATATGAGTATATACTAGTACTGGAGGTTCAATGTTCAAAATGTGTAGTTTTAATGGCTAAGGATTGAGTTTGCCCACGTGTTTAGGGCATTTCATTTGAAAAGGATTCAATTGTATTTGTTTTAATTTAATTTTTTAGGTTGTTTTAAATCGGCTGCGGAGCCATGAGTATTTCGGTTTGTTAAAAGTATCGGGTCGTTTCATTTTGGTATCAGAGCTTGGCACTCCTCTATTCCTTGGTCTTCAAGGAATAGTGGAGTGACGATCTGTGTTTTTCAAGGTTTTGTCTTAAGGGAGAAGTGAGTCAAAAGGGTTCTTTTGAGGGATTTTAGAATCTCCAGTATACTCTAATCATGATTAGGAAAATAACTCTACTAGGCCTGCGTGAGTATGATACATCTCGGGAAGGAGAAAGAGCAGATTCTTAAGAGGATGGCTTAGTGAACCCTTTTCATGAGTAAGAAGAGGAGGTTCAAGGCAGCTCATATATGTCCTACGGGGATGCGAGTTGATCAGAATAAGGTCAGAAAGGAGCCAAGTATCTAGTAAATCGACAGGCAGTAGCCAAGGAGTTACGACAAATGGCATCCTTAATATAGAGTAAAGGATGAAAGGAAGGTTCAATGAGTTCGCGAGAATCAAGCGTAGGGCTACGACCCAAGGGTAGTGGAAGTTAGACATTAAGCAACACTAGGGGTACATAAGCAAAGCAAGGAGAAATTCAGTAAGTCATAAGGATCTTAAAAAGGTTTCATGGAATCAATGTGTCAAGGCTGGGAGGAGGCCCATTCGTTTACTTACATCGACTAGGGAACCCCTTAGGGATATAGTACGTCCCTAAGAAGATGAATTGTGGACCTAGGGAACTAGATCGATGGCAAGTCTTGGAAAAGAAGGAGGACACCATCGAGATAAACGATGTAAAGGATGAGTTCCGAGCAAATTTCGGGGACGAAATTCTTTCAACCGGGGGGGGGGGGGGGGGGGGAGGGGGGAATGTTACACCCCGCTCTTTCCAAAAGTCAAAATGAATATTATACCCTTGGGTCAAGTTCCACCGTATTATTGATGAGGATTAAAAAGGTGAATTAATAGTTCAAACGGTGTCGAATTTAGACATGAAGTGAGAAAATTATGGACGTTAACTGAATTTTGGATTAAACTCACCCGTAATTAGGAAATTCCCAAATAGACCCGACACAATTAAACCCTAACCCTACCTCCCACTCGGCCTCACCCCAAACTAACAAAACCCTTCATTCTTTTTTCCCCAATCGTACAAGAGCAGCCTCCTTTTATCCTCGTACAAGAGCAGCCGATCGCAACTTTCCATTTCTTTCTTCTCACCATTTTGACGGTGCAGGCATGATTTTTGATAGGTTCACTAGGGGGACACAAGCGCGTTGCAACAGTAGGATCAGTAGGCGAGAAGGATCCCTTTTAATTCCCACCATTGCGGGCAATGGACAAGGAGTTCTTTTTTTTCTAACCTCATCTCCGCCCCAGCAAGTGGTTCTTTTCCTTTGCACAATCAACGCCCAGCAGTAGGGGAAAAAGTACCATGGGATTGAGGTAAGAGTCTCAGCAAGGAAATTATGTTAATAATAATGGTTTGTTTCATCAAATTACAAGGTTAAAAGGGAGTTGAAATTTGTGTCCCATGGAATTGAGCGGTTGCTAGGCTAGTTCAATGATATGGTGCATGGACGGCTACATAATGGAGATGGGGACTAGAATTGAAGAAGTAGTTAAAGCTTCAAGACTTCGACGAGCAGTAGTCAAAGCACGTCTACTTAATTTAAGAGGTGAGTGTAATGGGGGTAAAATCTCTGTCTTAGGTCTTTTAGTTTATGCTTTTCGTTCAAGTTATTAATTAGTTAATTTTTGAGTAATGCTCGATATGTGTGTGAGGCATCCCACCGCCTATAAGGGTGGAAGCACGCGTTGTGCTATGTATGAATGTATGGATGTATGATTGTAATAGTTGGTTAATGGTAAGATGAACCCCCGGGAGGTTGGGTCACTACTGGACGGTGAGACGTAACGCAGTAGTTGACCGGGCATGGACTGGATGGCGAGACGTAACGCAGTGTCATTGCTGAGTTTGGGTATGCAACCGGACGGCGAGACGTATCGCGATTGGCATACTAGGGTAGGGACACCGGACGGCAAGACGTAACGCGCTGGTCCCTAGTGTTGGTGTCAATAGATTAAGAATATAAGTAAGGAATTTCTAAAGATAAGTTAGGAGTAGAGATCTCTTATAGACTGTTTGATAACAAAGTATAAAGGATGAAAGCGAGAACGGCTTTTGTCTAAGTCAAGAATCCTGATAACGTGTTTAGTAAGGAGTTTCTTAGGGCAACGACCTTAGGAAGTAACGGCGAGACTAACCCCTTTTCACTCACCAGGTTGGGGAAGGGTTAGCGGATGAGGATTTTGAGGAGAGGCAAGGTGATGCAAGCAGTTGCACCAACATTGACGAGATGTCAAGGACCCCACCGAGGAGCTAGAGTTAGCTAGTTATATTTTGTTCATGATATGAGTATATACTGGAGGTTCAATGTTCAAGATGTGTAGTTTTAATGGCTAAGGATTGAGTTTGCCCACGTGTTTAGGGCATTTCATTTGAAAAGGATTCAATATTATTTGTTTTAAATTAATTTTTCATGTTGTTTTAAATCAGCTCCGGAGCCATGAGTATTTCAGTTTGTTAAAAGTATCGGGTCGTTATAGAAACAATGTGCCAGGATCCTCTCCAACAAACTTTGAAAAATTCAACCTTGCTAACTTGGCGAGGAAAGTGTCGTCGCCGCCGCCCTTGGTTCCATCGTTTCCCTTGAACTCGTCCATAGTCGGTCCACCTTCTAGCTCGCCACTACTGCCGTTGTTGCTGTTGCCATTCACGCCACCGTTCCGACCCCCAAACCCCTCCTTAGTCGACGACAAACTCCACTCCCCTGCCTTCTTCCCCTCCTTCTCCTTCCCGCCAGCGCTCTTCGAGCTGTCTCGCCCAACAATTAAGCCCTTACCCTAGCCGACCCAACAATTACCTAGGCCACTCGGCCCCTACCCCAATCCGCCACCCAAACGGAGACCTAGCTTCCCAAGGACTAACGTAATTGGCCCTAAACTCCTACTAACCTAATAACAAAACACAAACAACGAAGCCCAAAATCTCATGCAATAACAATTATGCGTAACAAAATAAACAACCAAGCCCACCTAACCAACTCTTGACTCCCGACGGCCTTCCCCAGCTAACGAGTTGCCATAAAAAACCCTAGCACTGCTTGCCAGTCGCCAAGATACTAGAATTTTGGAGCTCAACCAAATGGTGTTCCCTCGACTATCATTTGCAACAAGTTTTGTTATGTTGTTAAAGTTTGCTTCATCTGCAACAGATTTTCTTTAGATGAGATTGAACAATTATAGGGTTAATTGCATGGTTGGTCACTGAGATTACAAAAAACGTTCAAGTTTGGTCACTCAAAATATTTAAACCCATTGGTGGTACTTCAGTTTACTGAAACCGTTCACGTTTGGTCACTCTCCGTCCAACTCCGTTAACTTTTGCTTATGTGGCGGTCAACTCTAAAACTTGACCGTTAAATGGGTGACGTGGAAATTTAAAAACAATAAATGAAATTTTTATTTTATTTTAAATAAAAGTGATAATGAGATGGAAATGAAATGCCAATTTTAAAAAATTTAATTTTATTAAATTTATTATTTATAAATTGCCACGTCAGACATTTAACGGTCAACTTTTAGAGTTGACTGCCACGTAAACAAAAGCTAACGGAGTTAGACAGAGAGTGATCAAACGTGAACTGTTTCAGTAAACTGAAGTACCACCAATGAATTTCAATATTTCGAGTGACCAAACTTGAACGTTTTTTATAATCTCAGTGACCAACCATGCATTTAACCCAACAGTTATATGTATCGAATACAGGCCAACCACCAAAAACTTTTTTTTTTTTTTGTTATGGTTCAGTACTTTGTTTTGTTTTGTTTCTTGTACGTACAAGGAAAATACAAATCACCAATTGTTCCTCTACAGAAGTATCTAATTCTTCGAATCCCATAAATATTTGATTTATGTGATGATACATTACATACATGGCTTCCGATTAAAAGCCCGGATCTTGGAGGAGCAATTAATTAAATGAACTCACTCACTCACTCCTGATTGATTAGATTTAATTCCCAGGATCTACAAGACGAGAGTAGAAAATTGATTGCTGTTTGTTTGATTCTAGGCCGTGTCTCCTGTCGCCTCGTTATTAATTTTACTCTTTTCTCTTTAATTAATGAGTCGTAGAACTGCAGAAGTCAGCATAAACTGGGAAAATAAAAAACCATAAATAGATCAGAGGGAAAACGAAAATGGCGGCACCACCTCCACCAGCCAACGATTCGGAGTAGGGAGCTCCTATTCCTCCGCCTTCTTCCCTCCTAATCCCAGCAGAGTTCTTCTATCCATCAAATTCACAAACAGAAGAATACACCAAGAATCAAGCAGCAGACGCCCAATTTCTTTTACGAGGAAGAAGCAATCGGCAGCCTATTTGGGTTCTCTTCACACTCTGTACATTGCTCTGCATCGCTTCATTTAATGCTCTCTCTGTTCATCAGAGCTGCATAATTCGTGCTTTTTCCCCCCGTTTTTGGGTTCTACATAGAAACCGATTCTCTCATCTGGGTTTCCGTTGGATTCTCGAGTCTCTTCGTCGAAATGCCATTGAATCGCGTCTGACAGAATTTTCAACTCGCCGGACAGAAGAACCGGCCGTCGCCTTTGTAGAGGTTTTTCTTTTCTGGGAGATTGTAAAACTCCGGGTGCTTTTTGTTCCTCTCCGATGGGGGAATACAGACACGGCGGCGGCACGTCAATGGGTATCGCGGCAAGAAAGCTCTTCTTCGGCGTATTCCCGTGTATCTCCGCCGTGTTCCTGCTCTCCTGGTTCGTCGTCATCCGGTCCTCCACCGCCCGCCCAAGCTTCCTCGACCACGCATTTTTACCCACGGTCACCACTCTTTCCGTCGTCAAAAGCGACATCCCCCTCCAACAACAGCTCTCCACTCCCAGCTCCTTCTCCACCAGAGCACGCGCAATCCTCGTCGACGACGACACAAAACCAGAAAAAATCAACAACATCGTCTCCACCACCACCAATCTAGACGCCGGACCCAAGCCCGTGAACGAAGATAAGCCCATAATTAGACCCGAAATCAGAGCTACTAGCACCAATGGTGATGTGAAATGCAATGCTGAAAGCAGCCTGAAGCCACCACAACAGCAGCAATTGAAGGTTTTCATGTACGACATGCCGCCAGAATTCCACTTCGAGCTCTTGGGTTGGAAGCCGGAGAAACCGGGTCGAGTCTGGCCCGATATAAAAACCCACATACCCGGCTACCCAGGCGGGCTCAATCTGCAACACAGCATAGAGTACTGGCTAACACTCGACCTCCTAGCCTCTGAATTCCCCGAGATCCCTCGAGCTGGGAGCGCGATCCGAGTTCGCAACTCGAGCGAGGCGGACGTCTTATTCGTGCCATTCTTCTCTTCACTGAGCTACAACAGGTACTCCAAGGTAAACCCGCACCAGAAGAGGAGCAGGAACAACGTGCTGCAGGACAAAGTGGTGAAGTACGTGACGTCGCAGCCGGAGTGGAAGAGGTCCGGCGGGAGGGACCATCTGGTGATGGCTCACCACCCCAATAGTATGCTGAGTGCGAGGATGAAGCTGTGGCCGGCGATGTTCGTGTTGTCGGATTTCGGCAGGTATCCGCCCAATGTGGCGAATGTGGAGAAGGATGTGATTGCGCCTTACAAGCATGTTATTAAGAGCTATGTGAATGATAGTTCGGAGTTTGACACCAGACCCACCTTGCTCTATTTCCAGGGTGCCATTTACAGGAAAGATGTGAGTTCATCTTCCTCTCCTTTCCTTTCCCTCATTTTCCAGTTTTTTTCACTATGCGCTTCAGCTAGTCAATCCAATCTGAAACTAGACTGAAAGCATATAGAATCAACATTTAAATCTAAATCAAAGTAACAAAGATATGAAATTCACATGTTCGGTTGAAACATTGTGCAGGGTGGACTGGCGAGGCAAGAGCTATTCTACCTGCTGAAGGACGAGAAAGACGTGCATTTCCAGTTCGGTAGCGTAAAGAAAGGCGGCATCCACAAGGCATCCCGAGGCATGCACGCGTCCAAATTCTGCCTCAACATAGCCGGCGACACGCCCTCGTCGAACCGGCTCTTCGACGCAATCGCCAGTCACTGCGTCCCGGTGATCATCAGCGACGAGATCGAGCTCCCCTACGAGGACGTCCTGGACTACTCCGAATTCTGTGTGTTTGTCAAGACGTCCGACGCAGTCAAGGAGAAGTTCTTGATCAACTTCATCCGGAGCATCAAGAAAGAGGAATGGACTAGGATGTGGACGAGGTTGAAGGAAGTCGAGCGGTTCTTTCAGTTCCAGTACCCTTCGGTGGAAGGAGATGCTGTACAAATGATATGGCAGGCGGTAGGGAGAAAGGTTCCGGGCATAAGGATGAAGATAAACAGGGCTAGGAGATACTCGCGGTTTGCTGTTACCGACACTCATAGAGATGGTACTGGTCGTGGTGGAGGAGCAGGACGGCGATCTAGGCATAATATACGTACGCCGAAGAACTTCTGGTGAAACTGAACTGTGAAGTTGGTTAGATCATTTCTTTTTCTTCTTTTTGTCGATTTAACATTTGTGAATTGTGACATAGAATTGAGAATGCGGGAAGAAACAGGCATGACTATAACATTAGGATGTCATACAATTTTTTTGCCATTAATGGGAAATGGAGATACTACTAGTCTACATATTTTTTTTGTTACTCTGCAGTAACAAAAGGCAAAATTAGGATGGAAGGGTGAAGAGATGCTTGGACTAGTTGGGATGAATTTGCCACACAACAATCTAAGTTACTAGTTTCTACTGGTAGTTGAAACCTAGGAAGACACCAAACTTTGCTCCTCAGGTTCTGCTACTGGTGTGTACCACCGGTTGACACGGTTGCGAGCAAGAAGAACCTGCACAACATCAAAAGATTGGTAAATCAGGTTCAGATACAGATTTAGAAGCCGAACTACAAAACGATTCAGGGATTAGGGTACCTGTTTGTCCCAGTCAGTTCGGTAGGTGATCACAATGAGAATGATTGTTTGGATGAATGTTCCAAACAGCATTCCAATCCAGACACCCTGGGAATTTGACATTGGAATTGTTAATTTAACACTTCAAGGAATAGTTACCGTTCTGTCTGAAGGGAGAGAGGAAAGAGAGAAAAGGGTTAATTACTTTGACTTGCATGTCAAACACATATCCAAGAACAACTCCAACTGGGATACCAACAAGGTAATAGCAAGCTATGTTGACGTATGCAACAATACTCTGCCATCCAGCTCCAAGAGCAACGCCTGTTGGTTATAGTTTATACACAAATTGGGATCTCCGTTACTTCACTTCAGCTCTAAAAAGATTAACCAGATTCTTCATCAGCATTGAAAGTCTATAGGAAATTTACCAGATAGGACGGGTTGAATGCTGTTGAGGAGAATGGAGAAGGCCAGTAGTGGTGAGAGATCGGAGACAGCGCGGACTACTTCCACGTTTTCCGTAAACAAATAAGCAACCTTCCCTCTCAAGAATAGGAACACTAGGAATAGCACTACTCCAATGATGAATGAGGTTGCAACTGTCATCACAATGGCGAACTTGGCGCCTTTGGCATTGCCCCTCCCGAGCTCATTTGAAACCCTCACACTGAAATAACATGCCCCAAAACAGGAGTCAATGAATTTCAACTTCTAAAATCGAAAGGGTTGTGTTAAAATAGGCGTTCCGGTGATAAAACATACCTGGCAGCTGCTAAGAAACCAAGTGAGATCATCATCTCCCATCCATTGATGTTGAGGCTGCAGAAAACCCAGACAAGTGAACCATTTTTTAGCTAGGCATAAACAGAAACACTAGAGAAGTTTCGGAGAGCAGAAATCTCGAGCAGAGAACTACCAGATAGCAAGAGCATCGATAGCAACCTCGGCATTCTCCATGTTCCCTGTCAAAAGCACTAGCACTGTGTTGTACCAGAGCTCAAGGCTGTGTCAAATAAACAGCATACATAATTCAAGATCGCTACCAGAAGTATCTAAAGACCTACAGCAGTGGACGAAAATGAAAACAAGAAACGTACCAAAGCATGGCACCAGATGAAACAGAGAGTTTGACAACAGGCCACAGATCCTTAAATGCCAAGAACGATAAACCCTTCCACGTCTCACGGCAACCACCACAAGTAACAAAGAAGAGCTGACCTATATTGGGGATCCAATAAGCTAGAATCGTGGATATCATTGCTCCTGGGATCCCATACCTGTACTTTATGGTCAACAGCCAGGAAAGGACCAAGTGGATGGCCATGGAAGCTGCAGCCAAATATGCAATGAGCACGTTCTTGCTCTGTGCCTGAAGGAACATCTGGCAGGTGTAGGAAGCAATGGAGGCGAACATCACTGGGATCAACCATAGTGAAATAGTTCCTCCAACTTCTGCAATATAAGCCTCTTGGCCCAGTAACTCCAGGAGTGGAGTGGTGAAGATGAATATCGGAAGCATCAGAGTCGCGCACATTATCAAAACGATCCACGACCTCTGCAGGTACACTCCCAGCATGTGGTACTGCTTCGCCCCGAATGATTGCCCACAAAGAGTTTCCAATGCACTAGCCATTCCCAGCTGTAAAGCATAAAACCCACCTTCAGTATAAAAAAAAGAACTTGACCGTGGAGACGCAGAATAGATAGTAAAAAGAGAGAGATAGTCACCAGGACACCATTAGCGAATCTCAGGAGGACAGTGAAGACAAGGGAATAAGCAGCGAGTTCAGTCGACCCAATATGGCCGATGAAAGCCTGACTGACGACATTGATTCCAAAGGTAGAGAACCTGGTGAAGGTAGCTGGGGCAGCCACAATCCACATTTTCTTGGCTTCCGTCCATATCTTGGACTTCAAGGGTATTTCCTCGATTTCTGCCTCAACAGTTTTTGTTAAAAGCTTCTGGTTAATCTCCTCCCCCGCCATCGCCACAACACACTTAGCAGTCAGCCAGAACCCTGCTTCCTTAAAGCTTGGGCTGATCTCTCCTTGCTTCACCAAACACCTAAACCCAAAATCAACACATGACCGAAATCAAAGCAGATATATTATTCAATGAGAGACCATAACAGGACATGCATATATATACCTTAGAATACAAGATCACATGTTAATCTAACTAGGAAATATAAACAAGATAAATTTACGGTAGGTGGGCAATGGGAAGTGAAATGGCTTTTGGTGTTTTCCTATCACAGGCACAGCCCCAAACAAATCCACAGCTGCCGCTGACATGCTTTCCACTTTCCAACAAGGCAACAACCCAGAGTCAAGAGTCCACGTTCACACCCTAACAACCTCATCGTGTCTATCCAACAACCACAAAAGCTTAGCTTTGTGTCTGAGTCCGACCCCCAGACAACAACCAACCTCTATAAATGCGTGCTCACAAGATGTTGTGAGCAGTTGAGCATTAGAGTCAGATCGCATCTAACAAAACCTACTGTCAAACAGAATGATAGATAGAAGGCAGGATTGTAGAAACAAGCCAGCTTTTCTTTTTCCTGTTAATTGTAATCCAGGGCCCTTTATGTTCAATTATTGAAGCATATTTGTAAAGTTTGTAGGGCGAGGTGGGTTAGGTAGGTTAGGGTTACGCGTGATATAATTGTGTTCACATGGTGGTAATTAAAATAGTTGCAAAAAGGACCCGGCGGCTTAGCTGACGCCCGCTTTCCGGCATTCTCCGCCTGTCAAGATCTAGAGATGATAATGGTTTCATTCAACTCCCCATCATTATAAATTAACTCATCAATCTTCCTCACACACACACACACACACAAAAAAACACATTTTTACAAAACCGACCCTAACCAAAGATAAACAAACCAGACAACAAGCATTTCATGGTTTAAAATTCTTTTTCTAGACAAGTGTTCGTAGTGGGGGAAAAAAAATTTACCCTAAAATTACCACTAGGCCTACTTCTCTTTCAGTCTTTTTAGAAGAAAAAAAACTGAACCTTTTCTGCACAAATTCGTTCGTACAATTCTGGCTGGAATCTAGCAAAATCTCGTTCCCTGCCACAAAAGTTTAAAAAAAAAAAATGGATGCGAGAGGTAATACTGTAGCTTTAGCAAATAGCCAAGGCCCAAGAGGTTGTCATCAAGAAAGAAAAAAAGAGCTCTGAATATTCTTCGTTTAAAATTTTGTCACTGATCCACGAAAAGGACTCCTATAAAATAATGCATTCGCACTTTTTTCTCTGGCTGCCGTATTTCTGTTCTCAACTTAAGGTGGTGTAATTTTGTCATCCTTTTTGTTTTCTAATGTTTATTCAGACGAACAAAGATACCCGATATTTAGGATCACTTTTTGGGTACTATCCCTAAATCCAAACACGGCCTGCAAATTGTAGGGGGGCTGATGTGTTCAAAACACAAATAACAGGGACCAAATTTGAGACCTCAAGGAATTAATAGATGTTAGCGATTCAGTAGCTGAAGGGCATTGCTATTCGTCGCTCTAAAACACCTTATTCGTCGCTCTTAACTTTTATTAAAATTACTCAAATATCCTTAGTTTATCTCTCAAGTCTCAACTGTCACAGCATGATTCTTCTGTTGGTGTTTTAGGCAAGTGGCGGTGGTCGAGTTTAGGTGGGCAGTGGGCCGGAGAGAAGAAAGGCGCCCTCTTCTTCTTCGTCTTCTTCCTCCTCCGGCTTGGGATCGACTCCGGCAGTAGAAGCAGAGCACCAGCGCGGCGGTCAGGTTCAGGTGGGCAGCTAGTAGAGAGAAGAATCCCACAGCGACAATATTGTTGGGGCTGAGGTCGGCGGCGGCTGGGTAGGGTAAGAGATTGTTTGTGTAGGGTTTTGGTTAGAAATTGGGGCTAGAGGTTAAGATTGTCGATTTAGTACATTTTAGGGCGATAAAATTTGAATTATAGGGCGACGAATAGCTGAATACTGAATGGGTGGTCTCCTACTCCTAGTCCTTTTAAGTTTTAACCGAATTGCAAGACGCTACTACAGTAGAAGGAAAATTACAATATACTCACAAAACAATCCATCATATGACCGACAAGTCGACAACAACCTATTTTTATTATTATAATAATAATAATACTAAATAAATAAATAAGAAACAGAGACGTTACGTTACTTTTTGTGGCTTGAGGAGGAGAAGGTATGGTACAGTCAATATTTTAGTCAACGGAAGCACCATAGAAAAAAAGTTCAACTTTCGAGCTAGAAATGGAAAAATCCAGTACATCACATGAAATCCCGCAGAAGTCGTCACTGGACTGGACGGCAATTAAGCAAATCTTGGGGGATATAATAAAACAAAAAAGTGCAACTACTATCGATATCTACTGACGGAATTATTCAATGAGCATGAACTGCAATTAATACCAATCCTAAAATCAAGCACTTCACATCTTCCCCACTTCAGTCTAGAATTTTCCGACGAAGCCGGAAATCAAAATCAAAAGAAGCAAGGAAGGAACTCAAACACAGGAAAATCGCTCAACGAGAGTACCGATAACGAATTGTAAACCAAAAAAAACCGAGTCCGAAGTAGCCGGCGGTGATTCGAAAAGCCAAATCGAAGCAAGCAGCCAGGGGCTTCGCCGTAGGAAGAGATTGAAAGCTAAAAATCGGCAGAAACGGAAGAGATTGAAGCTTAAAGAAAGAAGAGCGGTTCTTCTACTTACCGGAGAATATGGAAGGGGATTAGCTGAGGGAAGAAAGGCAATCCAAGGTAAATCAGCAGCTGCAGAAAACAGAGTATGGATCTTTCTTCTCCTTCTCTTCTGCCGCTACTACTTCGGCGCCCGTTTTGCTACCTGCAGAGAGTTGCAGAGTCGGCGAGCTTGCTCGACCGAGAGCAGGAGGGAAGAAGTTTGGTAGAGATATTTTTTTTTATCTTCTCCCTCCTGCGCAGGCGGTGGGTGAGAGGGGCCTGGGGAATATGAAGACAACTGGGATGGAAGGCGGAATCTCGTAAATAGGGAACGGGAGAAATGGAAATCCTCTAATTTATTACTTATGGTTAATACCACTGAAAATACCTAGTAAAAGTGTCATTTATATTACGTACTTTCAATAAACACGAAAATATTCCAACGTATTAGGGGTTTGCGTCATTTGTGTTACGCGAATTTCTGTTGACCGTTAGAATTGATGGTTGACCTGACGGTGGCCAACCTTATGTCCACGTAGGCGACATGTGGATGCCACGTTGGAAAAAATCTTAAATAATTAAAAAAATATTATCTATTAATTAATATTATTCTACAAAAAAATGTTTTAACCCCACCCACCCTATCTTTTCACAGCAATCGGGCCTATATTCCCCCGACCCGACGATTGGAGCTTAGGCCGGCGCCTGTGGCGGTAGAGCTTTGAAAGGCGGCTGGTCCCCAACCAGGAGGATGATCCAGGACTGGTGCGTTCAGAACCTGAGGTTCGGGATCGAGAGGATCCCCACGCCGCGAGTTTCCGTCTCCGCCGACGAGATCGACGTTGTGCTCTCTCGCCTGGAGAGGTCGAGCAAGCTGCTCGACGAGTACGACTGCCAGGAGCGGTCGAGGAAGATTGGAAGCTGAGGGAGTGAGAGTGAGCGGAACTGGATTTCCATCGCGTCCAACAGCGCCGCCGTCATGCTCGCCGCCGCGTTTAACGGATTCGCGAGGGAATCCATGGAGAAGCGCGGCGTGGTTCTCGAAGAGCTGCTGAGCTCGATGAGTTGGATGTTTGCGATGACCAGCCACGACGGCGGCGGAGGAGGAGGATTAGCAACAGCTCGCGACCGCCTTGCTTCGCCGGGATCGATCAAAGCTCTGGTTCTTTAAATCGAACGACAGTAGAATTGCCGCCAAGCAGAACTCGCTCGTCGCGCTCAAGGAATTGTTGGTTTCTTCGTCTACCTCGAATCGAGCGAGAGTTGCCGAATCGATGTTGGAAATCGAAGTTTTACACCAAATCCTCTTTGGATTCGTGAGATCCCCATCGTAACCAAGCTCTCCCTAACAATAATCTTCCAGCTCCTCCAGATCTTAAGCTGGAAATCCAGCGACCGCTCTGCTCCTCCGATCTCACTCCCAGCGACGATCCGAAGCCTTCGCCTCCAGTCGCAAGCTGATTGATTCTACCTCGCTCATCAATTTTGGGGAAAAAATTTATAGGGTTCCACTGTTTCGCAGTCGAGAGAGACGAAGAGGAAAGGGTGAGAACGAAAAGAGCTTGGTGAGCCCTGTTTTTACATTTACCTTGTTTATTTTTTTTTTTTTTTGTTTCAGTAATAAATAAAACACCATTACTCATACACATGAGCGAGCCACGTGGGATCCTATTAGGCGCTGACTGGGTTTTGAAAAATCTCACGGTTAAGTTTAACGGCCCAACTAACAGAAAAGACATTTTAGTATACAAATGACATATTGAAAATTACGTAATATAAATGACACTTTCGCTAAATGATGGTATTTCTAGTGGTATTAGCCCTATTACTTACTAGCAAACGGCATACCACGAAGATAAATATTTGAAAAAATAATAGTTTTAATATTGAACTAAGTTAAAATAATTTTATTTCATTCTTTTTATAGGTTTGTTATTTACAATAGTATATGGTTCATAAACTTGCATAAAATCATCCACAATGTGAGTGGAGAAAATTTTGGGGAAAGAGGGAAAAGTGGGAAAGTGGGATGGTTTGTTCACATTGTGATGGTGGAAAAAATAGATAATCAGTTTAGTACTGTTTTGTTAAAATCAATCTATAGTTGATTTTGTTACTTTATTTTCATATAATGATTATTATTTTTACATATTTAGTGATAATTAATTAATACGAACATTTTGATATAATTTTTTTTAATTTGCACTTTTTGTCCCATTTAATATAAGAGTTAACTTTAATTTCGACATAAATGTTTAAACCAAAGCACGAAAAATATATCTCTTTTAACAATGCCCAAATTTCGAGAATAATTATCTTGAATTTACTTTAAATTCTTTAGATTCATCCTATTTAACATAAGAGTTAACTTTAATTTCGATATAAATGTTTAAACCAAAGCACGAAAAACTATATTGAGATAAAAGAAAACACACATCAAACCATATAATTAAACAAGACAATAACATTGTTCAAATTCGGGGACCCATCATAAGATACCAAATGCAACATTAATTCTTAGTCTTTGGACAGAGAAATTAACTGCGAGCGGTACTCTTAATACAATGATCAAATACTGATAATAAGTTCTGTCAAACAACAGTCTATCTTTGGACCGACTGTTATTCACATGAACAACAACTTTATAATTATCACGTATTTACTATTAATGTGCTTGATTATTTTGGTCAAATAATGTCGTCCTTTGGGTCGAGCACTACCCACATAAAATAACCTTACACGTACATCCATGTAATCTAAGTTAAATAATTTTTCGCAAGTAGAGGTTACTTTGACAACATACTGCTAAAATTAATTTAATTAAAATACTGGACAATTCTCTCATAATCACATAATTCCAAATAAGTGATTAATTCTCCTTAAGAGAGAATTACAACAATAATTATAAATAAAGGTTTACTCTATCTCAAGACACCTTGCACTCCATTAATATTTTATCTTTGGACAAAATATTAACTTGTAAGTGATGTCTTACGAGACAGTAATTAAATATTAATGACAAGAACATGCGAAACAATAAATCTACCTTTGGGCTGATTTAAAATTCACATGCTAACCGAATAATCATCACATATTTATTACTCTATGCGTACATATGGAACCTTAAATATTCACCTACCTTTGGGCAGTGAATACATAATTTGCACGTGATAAAATGTAAACTTTTACCATATAGGGATTTATAAGAAAAATGTCAACCCGACCCCAAAATTGGTTTGCTGAAATGAGGCATATATTCCTCACAAAAAAAGTCTTGTTTTAAACATACATTACGAGGTATTAAACGCACAAAGTAACTGTAGAATGCATTTTCATAATCCAACGATCATCACCCACATTAAACACACCAGCGATACTCCGCTAATGTAATAATAAGGCATTAAGCAAGAATTGAATCCAAATTATAGGGTAAATTGCAATTTATAGTGCGGGCTTGGCCCAAAGCGGACAATATCGTACTAATGAGCTGCCTCGTTATGACATAGTTGATTTAAACACAATGTATAGTGGATAGGGTCCTTGTCTTGAGGGGAGGATTGTTATGAGACAATCCAAGTACCACATCGGAAATACAAGGGAAGGAACCCTTGTATATTAGTGTCCACCTAGCCCAATTAGTAAGAGGCCTTTTGGGGAGGACACCCAAGAGTAAAACTGTGCGGGCCTAGGGATGGCAATGGGGCGGGTTTGGGGCGGGTTTGTCTAAACCATCCCCATCCCCATCTTCAAATACCCAAACCCATACCCGCTCCATACCCATGCGGGGGAATGTTTTGCAAACCCATCCCCATACCCGTGGGTTTCGGGTACCCATGAGTAATACCCGTACCCATAAATCCAACATTATTATACGTAAAATTTACAAGAAAAGTTTTAATTATTACTCTAGACAAACCTATTATATCATGAAGTCAACAAAACACGATCATTTTCTTAATACGGTTCAAAGTATATGATCCTAAAACAACCATTAATACATAATATAGAGTATAATATTTTTCAAATTATTATCTTCTAACTCTTATACATCTACTAAGTAATAATTAACTAACATAATCTTGTAGACAAGGGGAAAAGTGAAAGAGTGAAAGGAGAATTGAGGGAAATGAATTAGATTTTTATTAAAATGGTCACTCAATTGCATTTCTACTATTTATTTCCTTGAGTTATCCTCATCACCATTGATAGATTACAATTTAATCCACATATTTTTTTATATGTGAAGAAATTCTCTTGATAGGGCGGGTATAGGTATGGGTATGGGGCGGGGGAGGTCAAAACCATACCCGCCCCATACCCATCAAACTTTTTGCGGGTTTTACCCATACCCGCCCCATATCCGGTCAAAGCGGGGATTCCCCGCGTTGACTGGGTCGGGGGCGGTCGGATACCCGCGGTCATGGGTTTTATTGCCATCCCTACGTGCGGCTTGGCCCAAAGTGGCCAATATCGTACTAATGAGTTGCCCCGTTATGACATAGTTGATTTAAACACAATGTATAGTGGATAGGGTCGGCAATTCGGTTTCCGGTTAGCGGTTAACCAGCGATTATGACCAAAACCCGCGGTTAACGGCTAACCGAAAACCGATGGAAGAGGAGTTGTGGTCGGTGGTCGGTTAACCGCGTAACAGAAGACGGCTAACCGCGGTTAACCACGTAACTGACTCACTTCTACTGTCACTCCAGGAATTGGCCAAGTGAAACCACTTCCTAAAGCTTAGTATAGCGGGTTTGGGTTTAATTATCAACCTGGGTCCTAGATCTGATGACTACTCAGTGAATTCTTGTTATCTAGCAATGAAACTGGCATGCAAGTCTAAACTAACAAACTAACAAAGCAAGTAAACGGTTGTATTCAGGTTAAGAGAGGTCACCCGGATATGGTTCCCCCTAGACTGCAGTTAAGCCGGATTGTAATTACCAAGTTCAGTTTCTATGATAGTTATAATGCGGAAGGTTCTTAAACAGCCTGAAGTCTCGACTAAAGGTCTTCAGACCCTCTCAATCTGAGTCTCTAGCGGGCGACTAACCTCCACCGGAGTAAACAGATTGAGGCCTTAACAAACAAAACCTCCACTACCAGAGTAAATCTGGTACAGAATAGTGAGTTGGATCCTCGACTAAAGTCACCAACTCCCTACCTTCAATCAAGGATGCTCTATCAACCTAGGCAGATATTCTCATTCTAGGTCAAAGCAGAAACAACAGGAATTTGATCAGGATTCAAGTCATTCAATCATTTAAACCTCAATCGAATATAATCAAATCATAGAATCAGTACTTGGGTTCATACAATCAAAGCCTAACATACACATCTAGGGTTCTCCATACCCAGATGAATGGGAGAACTACTCCATAGAGAAAGAAGCAAAAGCAGAATCAGACGCGGAATTCATACTGTGAAGGATGGATTCCTGCTCCTGGAAATTGATCGGCACTTCTCCAAGCTCAAACTGGCCTCCAATGGTGATGAAGATCAATCTAGGGCACTTGGAGACTCTTGTTCGTCGCTTTCTCTCTCTAGGAATCGTTCTGTCTCTCTAAAACTCGAATCCCCTTCTCTTTGGCTGAAAATCTGCTTAAAAAGGCATCACTGGCCAAAGCACGGTCGAGGGCACGGCCGTGCTTTGCCTCAGCCCGCCCGTGCTTTGGCTAGTGTTAATTACACGGCCAGTGCATTGGGAGAAACACGGCTGTGCTTTGGAGAGAACACGGCCGTGCTTTGGGAGAACACGGCCGTGCTTTCAGCCCGTGTAATCAACTCATGTTTGCCAAAATCGAATTAGCTCTCGGCAGTAAAAGCACGACCACAGAACACGGCCGTATAATGAATTAGGTGTGCCCGTGTTTAGGCTCCACCTCGACGAAATGACTTCCGAATGCCCCGAAACTCGTGCTTAGCCTTTCCTTTGACGCCTGGGACCTGAAATATGACAAAATAGCACAACCCGGCGTAAAATAGGCCAAAAGTACACGACTATGCCCCTCAAACGGATAAGAACTAGGGGCGCAAATATGTGCAATTACATCGTTATCAAACTCCCCCACACTTAACCGTTTGCTTGTCCCCAAGCAAACTTAACTCAAACCAATGCAACTCTCCAGACCTCTATAGCAACAAACAACCCAGTTCTTAGGTAGAGGACTTCCTAGATCATTTAGCAACTTACGAGGTCAACCGACGCACAAGTCATCTCATAGCTTCTTCGGCGAGAGCACTAGTATCGAGTCGGCATCATGGCAAATAGTGAACAGAGGACAAATGAATTGTGGATGAAGAGATTCTCAAAAACAAAGGATCATGGATTCACATTTTTCAAGGTGCTCTATTTTCTTCTTGAAGATGGTTGGAACCCCTTTTCTTTCTGTTTTGCTTGTTTTCTGTTATTTTTTCTTTTTTTTCTTTTTTCAAGGGTCCCAACCGGCTCTTACCGGCCATGCCAGTAGCGGATTTCTCGAGCCTCGTGCGGGGGAAAGACATGTAAGGGGGCTGGAAGTAGTAGGTGGAAATTGGGAACGAATTCCCGTCTCCCCTTACACACTTTCGCCCTATTCGCACGGGAGACGTTATTTTGAAGCACATTTTCGAGCACCTGTTAAACTCAAAACATGATACAAGAGTCCATGACAGGTAGAGAGTCCACAACACCACACAATTCAAGGGTCCTAAGATCACTAATTCACTCAATCAACCAACACAATATGAAGAAGAAATGAGACTTCTTAAATCCATCAACATCCTCCATAGTGCTACACTACCTCCCTAGGTTGCATATTACTATAAAGGCTGTCAATTCAAAGCATACTGAGCAAGCAATTGCAAGGAAACACGTACTTGGAGCCCTCAAATTTAAAATTTGGACAGTGGACTAGGCTCCAAGCATACAAACAGATCTAATGCAGTCAAAAGATAAACATCCCCCCACACTTAAGATCGACATTGCCCTCAATGGAGAAGAGGGAAGGAAAAGGGGAACGATGTTACCGGCATGCACGGACTGCAGGAGACTGGAAGCGGACCAGTCGGAGTGAAGCGGACTGGAGAGAGGACCAGTCAAGCCAAGCACAGCTAAAGGAAACCAAAGAGCTCAAACACAATATGTTAGGTCCAATGGTCAGCCCAATAATACATCATCCAAAACAAAAGAAAACAAACCAAAACCAAACTGGTTTACAATCCGACTCAAAACACAAGAAAGAAAATCAAACCGTGGTGGGGTTGCCTCCCCACAAGCGCTTCTTTACCGTCGTGTAGCTGGACGCCCATGGTGGATACTCAGGGAGGTGCAGGAACAGGTGCCTCCAAGAGCGGATCCACGTCGCTCTTGAGGTACAACTTCAGGTTGTGGCCATGCACCCGACGGATGCGACCACCATCATCAGTCAGCTCGACCTGGCCATCCGGCAAGATGCAGGCGAGTGAGTACCCGGACGGCCAGGGTAGTCGTGGTGCAGGAGGTGGGACCAGCTCATAGTGGTCTCCACTCTTCTTCCGTGCAGGCGTAGGCGCGTAGCAACCTGCTGCTTTGGCCGCCACTCCTCCTTGAGCTTTTTGTTCGGAGGCGAGGCTGGATGGAGTGGCGGCGAAGGAATGACAGGAGGGTCCTGCAAAATAAGAGGTGCAGAAGGATACATGACATGCTCGTGTACCTGATCAGAAATGGCATGCACAGGTGTGACAGCAATCATAGCACAGTGATCAAAGTCAGTCACAGAGAAGGTAGCCTGTTCATTTCCAGCACGCAAGATCAGTTTACCATCATGCACATCAATAAGTGCCTTGGCGGTGGCAAGAAATGGTCTACCCAGAATCAAAGGCACATCCACATCCTCATGTATATCAAGAATAACAAAATCAACAGGATATGTGAATGCACCTACTTTAACAAGCAGATCCTCTATGATCCCCCTAGGATGCACAATGGAACGATCAGCTAGCTGAATGCTCATCCTAGTAGGGCTAAGTTCACCTAGGTCTAGCTTTTTATACAACTTATATGGCATGACATTTATGCTAGCGCCTAGGTCCGCCAAGGACTTGCCTACATGCATGCTGCCAATAGTAAGAGGGATAGTAAAACTCCCTGGGTCTTTTCGCTTCTCGGGCAGCTTGTTCTGCAGGATAGCAGAACACTCCTCACTGAGCATCACTGTCGAAAGATCCCCAAGTTTCTTCTTGTCGGTGAGGAGATCTTTCATGAACTTGGCATACTTGGGCATCTTCGACAGTGCCTCCACGAACGCTATGCTGATGTTGAGCTGCTTCAACATTGCCATAAACTTGGCAAACTCAGTCTCCAGCTTGTCTTTGTGGAGGCGAGTGGGGAAGGGAAGCTGAGGTACATGCTCCTTAACCACTGGTTGTGGCTTGGGAGCAGGGGCTTCCTTCTCCACCCGCACTTCTGCATCATCGGCTGGAAGTGCTGAAGCAGGTGATGGTTCCTCCTGTCTGGCCGGGACAGGATCAGCAGATATGGTCTTACCGCTCCTGGTAAAAATGGCATCCAGCTGCTGGAGCTGGTGAGGATCCCGAGGATTCGGGATAGTGGTGGCAGGCAGAGTCCCCGGTGCCCTGGTAGTGTTTTGGCGGGCCAAGATGCCCACCTGGGTCTGCAGATCTTGCAAAATGGCCCCCTGGTTCCGCTGACCTGCCTCCAGTGACGTGGTAGCAGCATGAGTGCTAGTCATGAATGAAGCTAGAATATTTTCCAGCTTTGTCATCCGGTCATCTGGGGCAGGGGCTGCTGCTGGCTCGGCATACTGACGCTGGGGCTGCTGGAATGTTTGCCCCTGCCGAGGCTGGTAGGGCTGCTGCTGTGGGGCTGGCCCCTGTCGAGCCTGGAAGGGCTGCCTCTGCTGAAAACCACCAGCTGGTGCTGGGAAACCAGGTGGTTTAGTGGTGTTGCTGCTCCAAGCAAAATTGGGATGCTGGCGCCACCCCTCATTATATGTATTGTTGTACGGGTCGAGGCGCCGAGCATTGGCGATGAAGTCCAACTGCTCTTGGGGAGTAGTAGACTCCCTCATAGCCTGGCAGTCTTCCACTAGGTGATTGGAGCTCTCGCACCACTGACATTGAGCTACTGGAGGTGTAGCCACACCTTTGCCCGGAATAAGACTGTTGGGCTGCTTCAATGTCTGCACTAGCTCAGCTACCTGCTGCTCGAGCTCGGATCTGGTCTCCATGGCGTGCACACCACGGTCCCGGGAATGTCTGCCTCTGCTGCTCTACCCCTAGGAATGATCTCTGGCAGCCAAAGTATTGATCATCTGGTTCAGCTCGGGTGGAGTCTTAGTGAGAACATCCCCTCCTTGGCATAGAGACTCAATCACCCTCTAGCTGTCTGGAGAGAGAGCACTGTAGAAGTTCCCCACTGTGAATGCATCACTAAAGCCATGATGGGGACACTACCAGAAATATCCCATGTACTGCTCCCATGCATCACGAAGTGACTCATCTGGCTCTTGGCGGAAGTGAGTGATCTCCCGCTGGATCTCTGTAGTCTTCGATGCCGGATAGTACCTGTGCACGAATTTGTCAGCCAGATCATCCCAAGAGGTGATGGACAATGGGGGCTGGGTCTCCAACCACCTCTTAGCATTCCCCGCCAGAGAATGGGGGAAGAGATGAAGGCGGATTGCATCATCCGGGACACCATTCAGCTTGAACCCGTTCGTCAGCTGCAGAAAACGGGAAAGATGCACCCTGGCCTCCTCATCCTTCAAGCCATGGAACTGGATAGAGGATGTGATGAGCTGAATCCAACATGGCTTGATCTCGAAGTTATTTGCTGGAATAGGCGGGTAGAGGATGACCGGGCGGATGTCAGCAATCCGAGGAGTGTAGTAGTACTCCAAGGTGGGACCCGGCTGCGATGGATGATGAACTCCATGATCCTGGGGTATGGGGTTGTTCCCCAGGACCTGATTCACCGCGGGAACCTGCTGCGGATTCCCCTTGTGCTGATTGTAGTCTCCGTCCATCCCGTACTCTTCTTCAGAATCGCTACTCAGGTGGCCGTCTATGCGCTCTTCCGTAGCCAGTCTAGCTCGCTGTTGTCTCCTGAGCTGGCGACAGGTGCGGTCAATCTCTGGATTCAACGGCAGTAAATCTCCTGACTGGCTACGGGTCATGCACTACCTGCACACACTCAAGCAAGCAAACCCGTGAAGGCACAAGTGGGACAAAGCAAACAAAGCAAAAAGAAAAGCTAAATTAACAGAAATCACTTTTCTTCAACAACCTAGCCGTCCCCGGCAACGGCGCCAAAAACTTGACTCACTTCTACTGTCACTCCAGGAATTGGCCAAGTGAAACCACTTCCTAAAGCGTAGTATAGCGGGTTTGGGTTTAATTATCAACCCGGGTCCTAGATCTGATGACTACTCAGTGAATTCTTGTTATCTAGCAATGAAACTGGCATGCAAGTCTAAACTAACAAACTAACAAAGCAAGTAAACGGTTGTATTCAGGTTAAGAGAGGTCACCCGGATATGGTTCCCCCTAGAATGCAGTTAAGCCGGATTGTAATTACCAAGTTCAGTTTCTATGATAGTTATACTGCGAAAGGTTCTTAAACAGCCTGACGTCTCGACTAAAGGTCTTCAGACCCTCTCAATCTGAGTCTCTAGCGGGCGACTAACCTCCACCGGAGTAAACAGATTGAGGCCTTAACAAACAAAACCTCCACTACCGGAGTAAATCCGGTACAGAATAGTGAGTTGGCTCCTCGACTAAAGTCACCAACTCCCTACCTTCAATCAAGGATGCTCTATCAACCTAGGCAGATATTCTCATTCTAGGTCAAAGCAGAAACAACAGGAATTTGATCAGGATTCAAGTCATTCAATCATTCAAACCTCAATCGAATATAATCAAATCATAGAATCAGTACTTGGGTTCATACAATCAAAGCCTAACATACAAATCTAGGGTTCTCCATACCCAGATGAATGGGAGAACTACTCCATAGAGAAATAAGCAAAAGCAGAATCAGACGCGGAATTCATACTGTGAAGGATGGATTCCTGCTCCTGGAAATTGATCGGCACTTCTCCAAGCTCAAACTGGCCTCCAATGGTGATGAAGATCAATCTAGGGCACTTGGAGACTCTTGTTCGTCGCTTTCTCTCTCTAGGAATCGTTCTGTCTCTCTAAAACTCGAATCCCCTTCTCTTTGGCTGAAAATCTGCTTAAAAAGGCATCACTGGCCAAAGCACGGTCGAGGGCACAGCCGTGCTTTGCCTCAGCCCGCCCGTGCTTTGGCTAGTGTTAATTACACGGCCAGTGCATTGGGAGAAACACGGCCGTGCTTTGGAGAGAACACGGCCGTGCTTTGGGAGAACACGGCCATGCTTTCAGCCCGTGTAATCAACTCATGTTTGCCAAACTCGAATTAGCTCTCGGCAGTAAAAGCACGGCCACAGAACACGGCCGTGTTTTGGAGAGAACACGGCCGTGTAATGAATTAGGTGTGCCCGTGTTTTGGCTCCAGCTCGACGAAATGACTTCCGAATGCCCCGAAACTCGTGCTTAGCCTTTTCTTTGACGCCTGAGACCTGAAATATGACAAAATAGCACAACCCGGCGTAAAATAGGCCTAAAGTACACGACTATGCCCCTCAAACGGATAAGAACTAGGGGCGCAAATATGTGCAATTACATCGTTATCAGTAACCGACCACCACCGAAAATCCATTAATCTGCCCTCCCCCTCCCCAATTCAAAACAAGAAAAAATCCCCCCAATCATTCTCAAACCCTAAATATCCGACCCCTTCCTCAGCCTCCCATCGCGCCGCGCCTTCTGTCGCGATTCTTCCATCTCCGAAGCTCCGCCTCCGGCCTTGCTCTTCCCCGCCGACAACCGCCGCTCCTCCTCCTTCACGATGTGCAACAGTGACTTGCTCGATCTCATTTCTTTCTCCGACGACGTCTCTGGAGGAGATTTAGAGGGTAGCAGTAGCACCGTAGCAGATGTGTTGAGAAAAGAGAGAAGAAGAAGTACGGATTTTTCGTAAAAGGTGGGACAAGAGAGGAGAGAGAGAAAAAGATAAGGAAAAAGTGTGGAGAGGAGAGAAGAAGAAAAAGATAAGGAGAGAAGAAAAGTTTTTCTTTTTTTTTTTTATTCTTTCTTTTCTTCTCTTCTCTTTCCTTTTCTTTCTCATTCTTTCCTTTTTTAATAAAGAGGCATTACAATTTTGGTTTTACGACTAACCGAGCCCAAAATCGAAAAATCGACCGGTCGGTGGTCGGCTAGCCGTGGCTTACTCGTAGTCGGTTGTCGACGACAATCAGGGATGGTTCGGTTTAACCGATAATCGAGGTTTCTATTTTTGGTTAAATCGAAACCGACCAACTGACAACTCTAATAGTGGACATGTGAAAACTTCAAGCTCGTGAGCTGGTTTTCATTTGAGGGGGTGCGTAAGGGAGTGGTATAAGATCCATAATTAACCTTCTTCCACCCATTCGTGATTTTTTTTAACTAAAAAAAGCCTTCAATATATAGTGAACATGCGCAAACTTCGAGACCAGCGTTAAAGGATTAAACTAGGGATGGCAATGGGTTGGATTTTGCCAAACCCAAACCCATTGGTTTATCCGTGAAAAAACCCGAGGTAGAACCCACTGGGTTTGAAAAACTCAAACCCATCCAACCCGCTGGGTATCCGCGGGTTCATGGGTACCCACGGGTTTTGTCGTAAAACATTTACAATAACAAGTTTCTATCAAAATTCAAGTCAAATATAAATCTCTCAATACAAATTTTTCATATATAAAACACCATTCTAGCAAAATTCAAGCAAATTAAAAATTAACTATACAAATTGTTCAACAGCAATCTAGAAAACTCCAGAAAATTGAAGCAAATCACAAATTATCCATAAATAACATGATTAATTGAAATCTTCTTTCTTTCAATTAAGTTACTTCACTCTCCACTCGATAACATCAACTTCATTCTACACAATTAGAAAGAAAAAAATTAGACATGTCTCCACAAATATAAATAAGATTAGTTGTTTAGAATATAAAATATACCGAAAAAATTAATTATATGGATGTGAGCGGGTACCCATGGGGCGGGTTTATCTAAACCCAAACTCTATCCAACCCGGTAAATAGTGAACGAGTTAAAACCCAAACCCAGCCCAAAACTCGTCAACACGGGTTTTACCCGCGTTGACCGGGTTGGATCAGGTGGGTACCCATGGATTTGGGTTTTGTTGCCATCCCCAGATTAAACGTGTATCGTGATGACAAAAATCTGAATGCTTTCGCCAACTCAAACTAAGGGGTCGTTTGGAAGTTGAGATTCTTCAAATATGTGTATTTGATGAATACATCTATTGTCAATACAAAGATTGTAAGAATTAGATGATTGGAAGAATGTCTTGTTTGGTTGTAGCCATTCAAAAATTTTAAATTAAAGCCAACAATCTCAATGGAAGAATCTCACATTTTTGTTGAGATTTAAAATGAGTGATTGTGGGTGATAAGAGATTTGATGGCCCACCTCAAATGCATGTATTGAATAAAGTTTTGGAACAAAAAAATTATTGATTCTGCAGAATTCATGAATTCAAAGAATCATTCATCTAGAATCATAACTTTCAAACGACCCCTAAATTACTGGTGAGTTATCTTCCCTCTAAGAAGCCCAATAAACATTGGGCCGTCTGCCTTTTCTCCCGTCCAAAGTCGAGCTCTTGTTTAATCGGGTCGGACTTTATGTACTGTAGGCCCATAAGGTGACTTGCTCGGCGAGTCAGGCTAGCTAAAGTCGGTGACTCCCCCAAATCTTGCAAAGACGGTGACCGGTCTCCCGTTTCTCTTCCGTCCCTTTTCCGCCGGAAATCTCTGAATTAGAACCAGCGCTCGCCGTTCAGGTTTCTCCTCAGATTGTTGAAGCTACTCCGTTCGTCGAGGGAAAAGGGTTCCTGAATTTCTTCTTCGAGAATATGGCGACTGCTGCAGTCGAGACGAAGCAACCGGATTCCTTAATGGGAGATCAGATTTGCTCCGCCGCGAAAGGGGCGACTAGGCAGGGAGAAGGGCTCAAGCAATACTACCAGCAGCACATCCACGAGCTCCAGCTCCAGGTCCGACAGAAGGGTCACAATCTTAATCGTCTCGAAGCTCAGCGGAATGAGCTCAATTCCAGGGGTGAATTTTCCAATCTGGAAGCCTTTTGCTATTTCGGGAGTTCAATTGCTGTCTAGGGTTTTCTGCTTGAATTATTGTCTGTATCAATTGGGTTCTTGTTCTAGTTGAATATCAATTGGGTTCTTGTTCCAGTTGAAGCTTTCTGGATGTCTCTGTTGAATGGTAATTTGTTTTCGAGAAGTCCGATTAATTTCTTTTTGTGGCTGAGAGAGTAAAGTTCGTTTCTTTCTTTTCTGTGTCCAGTGAGGATGCTTAGAGAAGAGCTGCAGCTGCTTCAGGAGCCTGGGTCTTACGTTGGTGAAGTTGTCAAAGTTATGGGCAAAAATAAGGTTTTGGTGAAGGTAATCCTTTTTTAATAGAATGAACATTGTTTGCTGCTCTTGAGTTTCAGTTGAGCTGATTTCATCGAGCATAGTAGGTGTTGCATACACTTTTAAGTTGGTTCATGTGACGGGGCCTTCCTCATTGAAGTAGAAGCACAGCTGGACTGGTGGTTGGCAATTTGTTCTTGGCTTACTCTTCCATTTTTTTGCATAGCGTGTTATTGATTTAACTGCTGAATAGTGGCATGGGGTATGTGTAGTTTGTGATCCTAGAAAACGGTTTTTATGGGCCTTGAAAGCATCATCATAGCTATCCTGAGATTATGGTTAAAAAAATTTCTCTCCTTTATGTAGGTTCATCCAGAAGGGAAGTATGTTGTTGATATTGACAAGAGCATTGACATAACCAAGATCACTCCATCGACTAGGGTGGCTCTTCGTAATGATAGCTATGTTCTTCACCTAGTCTTGCCGAGCAAAGTAGACCCCCTCGTCAATCTTATGAAGGTTGAAAAGGTTCCAGATTCAACTTATGATATGATTGGTGGCCTTGACCAACAAATCAAAGAGATGAAGGAGGTTTGTCGAGTTCCATTTCAATGTATTGAGTTCTCGTCAGTGCTTGTGTTGTCTCACTGTTGCTGATTAGTTGCTCGTCATTCTCTATGTTGCTACATGTAGGTCATTGAACTTCCTATCAAACATCCTGAGTTGTTTGAGAGTCTTGGAATTGCTCAACCAAAGGTACTAAGGTTAACGTTATAGATGTTGCATCTTCCTCTCCATTTATCATGGAATAATTTTGTTGTGAAGATCCTTACCATGTCTCATCAAGCATTTCCTTGCTATAGGGTGTCTTGCTGTATGGGCCACCTGGAACTGGGAAAACACTGTTGGCCAGGGCTGTGGCCCATCATACCGACTGCACTTTCATTAGGGTCTCAGGCTCTGAATTAGTACAGAAGTACATTGGTGAAGGCTCCAGAATGGTTAGGGAACTTTTTGTTATGGCAAGGTATGTCAATTTCTTAATTCATCTGCCCTTCTTTTCATATCATGATTCCTTCGGAGAACTTTTCTTCTCTATGAGAACGCGTACCTCACATGTGATAATGCAAGTCATGTGTCAAATTTATTCTGTTATTAGTAATATCGAGAATATAAGCTAGTGTGAGTTTACGAATGTTAAGCTGTCATTGAACCCTTCTCTAAGACTTATAGTTCAGGAAAGCCATCACTGAAATGCAATGGTTGCCAACCAGGGTAATCTGTCCTTTGTTTCACTTGCCTTTAGTTTGTGGCAAGCCCTCACTGAAATTTAGCCTACATTCCATTAACCTTAATGACTCCTTTGTTAATTTCTGATTGCCTTTAGATACAATATATTCATGTCATCATTGGTTTCTCATATCAATATTTGTAGGGAGCATGCACCATCCATCATCTTCATGGATGAGATTGATAGCATTGGGTCAGCTCGAATGGAATCTGGAAGTGGCAATGGTGATAGTGAGGTGCAGCGAACTATGCTGGAGCTTCTCAATCAGCTTGATGGATTTGAAGCATCAAACAAGATCAAGGTACCATAGTATTAATTTACTGTACAACACGGAAGTCTAAACAAAAGTATGGGGGTGTAACAACGCTGCATTGTTCCACATACAGTTGCTGAAGTCCTTGGTCATTTTTTCTTGGTTATTTCACAGGTTTTGATGGCCACAAATCGTATTGATATTCTTGATCAAGCTCTGCTTAGGCCTGGCCGTATTGACAGAAAGATCGAGTTCCCTAATCCCAATGAAGATGTATGTATAGTTGTTCATATTTTTGTTCCGACCAAACCTCTATTTGTCAAATTTTGAAGTGGGCTGATCTATGTATTGCACAACCTTTCTGTAGTCCCGTTGGGATATCCTGAAGATCCATTCAAGGAGAATGAATCTGATGCGTGGGATTGACTTGAAGAAGATAGCAGAAAAGATGAATGGGGCGTCTGGTGCAGAGCTCAAGGTATAAAGAGCATCTTGTCATCCATGCTTTTTTACATTCTATGATAAACTTATTCATTGCTTTGGCGTGTTGGGATAGGCTGTGTGCACGGAGGCAGGAATGTTTGCACTTAGAGAGAGGAGGGTGCACGTAACACAGGAAGATTTCGAGATGGCAGTTGCAAAGGTCATGAAGAAGGAGACGGAGAAGAACATGTCATTGAGGAAGCTATGGAAGTAAATGGAGAGCATGATGTTGGTTTATTTCGTGTGTTCTTCAAGAACCATTGCTTTGGGGATTGGAGGAAAGAACCCAGAGGGAACAAATGGCATGTGTATTCCTCTCTTTTGTTTGTATCCTTGGTTCACCCACGAGGGGTTGTGCTAAATTAGGACAATGTCGTTCTTGTTGCTTGAAGAACAAGTTCGTTGCTCATCCTCATGCACGTTTGCAGCGGCTGTATTTAATTTTTAAACGGAAGATACAAAAGGAACTTGGTTAAGTTTTTGTCAAACTGTATAACCAAAATGGAAGAGAAATAGAGTTCACAAGATGCAAAAGTAAATAACTGACAGCGCCTGAAGCAAAAGAACTCAGATTTGGAGACTACAGAAGCTAAGTAATCATCATTTATAAACGAGCTTGGTGTCCGACCCGTTGGTCGGAATGTCATTTTAATACAACGTATTTATGATATGTATCTAAATTTATTAAATTATTTAAGATTCTAAATTTTTTATGACATTAAGCTAGCATCGAAATTATGTTTTCATTTTTTTAAGTCTTATAACTTTTCATCAATGATGAACACTGCAATCTGAATGATGATATTTATAACCAAACTTGTTAAATTGATTTAAGTTGTTGAGCCAGTCAAGTAAGTTGTTTGAAGTTTAATGATTTGATTGAGTCCAACTTGTTTGAGTCGTTTTACACTTTTTCTATATATATATATATGGTGGCTACTTCGGTGCACTCACTTTTTTGGGTGCACTGAATCTAAAAGTGTCCATAATACATCAAATTTTGAACTTTAATTAGTACTCCCAATCTAATATGATGATATGATATAGAATCATAACAAATCAATCTATTACCCTAACCCCTTAACTTTCAATTTTGAATCCCAACTCAAAATCCCAAATTGTAAACCTAAACCCTAACCCTAAATCCCTAAATCCTAAATCCTTTGAATTAAAGTAAATTGTGAATGGATTATTTTCAAATTCATGTGCTTCTTGTTCATAATATCATAAGCAACAATTGATACCATTTTGACATGAATCGCATGCTCAGAATGACAATTATGAGGCGGGTGCACTGAGTGCACCCGAAAAAGTGGGTGCACCGAATACTCCACCATATATATACATATACATACATATATATATGTATGTATGTATGTATGATGGCGTCTTCGATGCACTTACTTTTTTGGGTGCATTCAGTGCATTCACTACATAACCGTCATTTTAAACAATAACGCACATGAATTTGCACAAAAATTATTAAAGATTTACTTTAATTTGAAGGATTTAGAGTTTAGAGATTTAGGGTTAGGGTTTACAGTTTGGGGTTCAGGGCTAGGGCTAGAACTTAAAATTGGAGTTCTAGGGCTTAGGGTAATCGGCTAATTAGTTGTTATCATATGTTATATCGTCATATTACACTAATTCTACAAATTAAAATTCAAAATCCGGCACCTTAAGACCAGATTTTGAGTAGGGTGCATTGAACGCACTCATTTTTGTGAGTGCACCGAAGTAGTCACCATATATATATAAGACAATAAAAAATTAAATGATTAAAATGGAATGTACCTGGCTTATATCTATTAAATTTATATTCCATAAAAAACTACCTATCTCGGTACGACAGTACCCATCCACCATTCTCTTCCCTCTCTCCCCCTCCCCTCTTCCAACAATCTGACCGCTGGCTTTGTGAAAACCATTTTAGAGCACGACTTTGGTCGGACCTGGTATAACCGATGGGCCAGTAGAGGTTTAACAACCTTGGTTATAACACTCATGAATAATTATGCATGACTTGTCTATTTGATAATTTATTCAATTAGTTGCTTATGGTTGAAAAAATTGACATAACAAAAAAAGAGTTTGTCTGAAAAAATATAGCATAAATAGGAAACACACAATCATAATCTTTAGCTAATATTTCTTTCTTTTCTTGAGAAATAATACACATATATCAATATCTACAACTTTAAGTATTATACACAATACAATAACAAAATTAATAAGAAAATAACATTATCTATCCATACTCTATGCAATGAAGAAAATGGTTATCAGTCAACATACTCAATTTTAGTTGAAGGAAAATCTTATTCACTAAAAAAAAAAAATTAAACCTATCTTATGGTACCTACCTCGCTAACGCACATGACCACATCAATGCGTTCATGAAAACTTCGCCCGACTTTCATGATTTGTCTTGTACTCCGCTTATTTCATATTAAACTAATTAAATCTTAATGATACATATTATCAATTACTCTATAAATATTAAAGATTTAAAAAATAATGAAATCATCTACAAAATTGATATTTATAAATTGTGTTATTTTAAACTCACCCATGGGTCCAATCATGACGTATTATCAAGATATTTAGAATTTAACTACTAACTGAACTAAAACTTTCAAAGAACTTATCACTTATAGTTTGCATAACAATATCGTTGCTTTATGGTAGTTCTAATAATTAATACCAAGTTAAGAATTTTACATCACATCTACACATTCACTACTACAATTTAATATGCAATATTTGAATAAATTATATTTAGGTTGCAATTTTAAATTTCTGATCCATTTATAAGATAGACGTAAATTAAATTTGTTATTAAAATCAAATTCAAATAATCGAAATATGAAATTCAAATATCAAACACCAAGGAAAGTACTTATGGGATTAGTGGGCTAGCTACAAATAGTAGAATAGTCATATGATTTTCAGATGTTAGGTTTTTTATTTCTTTATTTAAAAAAATACAAATCATTTCTTTAGTGTAAGTGGTAATGATTGTTGTCTTTCTCTAAAAAGATCATGGTTCAAACCCTCATACTGATAAATGTTTTTTTTTTCCTTATGGATAAGGAATAAATAATAATTGTAAGGACAAATTTATCCTTCCTGCTTTTGCTCTCATGGCCCAAAATTTGAAATGCTGAAAAACTGATAAATGTTTTTTTTTCCTTATGGATAAGGAATAAATAATAATTGTAAGGACAAATTTATCCTTCCTGCTTTCGCTCTCATGGCCCAAAATTTGAAATGCTGAAAAACTGCCACCAACACTGCTATAATATATTTGTAGATGTATTACCTATAATTCTAATGAGAAATTTACAAATTGGTACCCATACTATTCTTGACGTGTTATGAGATTGATAAATGTTTTTTTTTTCCTTATGGATAAGGAATAAATAATAATTGTAAGGACAAATTTATCCTTCCTGCTTTCGCTCTCATGGCCCAAAATTTGAAATGCTGAAAAACTGCCACCAACACTGCTATAATATATTTGTAGATGTATTACCTATAATTCTAATGAGAAATTTACAAATTGGTACCCATACTATTCTTGACGTGTTATGAGATTGAGTCATCTTGAGATTTCGAATATTATTTGTGTTACGTATCTTCATTTAATTATTCGTGTTAGCTATTATTTAGAACTATTTAAGGTTAATATTAATTATTATATTTGTTCTAGTTGGAATAGGATTAATAGTAATTATATAATGTTCCTGTAAGGAAAGGAAAAGGAATCCTAGTGGAAAAAGGATAAGGAGAGGAGCTAAAGCCTAATGTGAGAATGAAAAGGAACTGATTGTCTAACTCTATAAATAGAGGTTTTGTTTATGATTAATACCTAAGAAAATAGAAACCAAATTTATGTTTCTTGTTTTGTTAATCCGTTAAGAGCATCGAACACATCTATAAAGTCCAGAGACTGGTTTAGGGTAGGGTCAGTAATCAATGGTAACTGGGTCCAAGATAGGGTCAGTAACCATTGGTTACTGACCCATCAGTAACCACACGGGAGCCGTAGGATTGGGAATGGAGCAATCGTGTGGCTGGGCTGGATGTGGGGTGGGGAGGGGCATTTTTGTCCGTTTTTGTATTTTTAATTTTTTTTATTCATTCCGCATTTCAATGGCTGAATTTTCAATGAAAGAGAGAATGCATTTTCTCTGCAACTCAACTTTCTTCCTTCTCTCTTCTTTTCTTTCAATCTCTTTACAGATCTTTTCTCTTTCTCTATTCCTTCTCTCTTACTTTTTCTTTCACAATCTCCTTTTCAAATTTAGATCTGCTCTCTTCCTTCTTCATTTTTTTCTCTAGCAATCGACGAATAAAAATTGTAGCCACTCTCTTTCTTTGCATTTCTTCTCTTCATCAACTCGTTGGCCTCAATTCCGATCTTTCTCATTTTTTTGGCATTTTGGTGTTCTTGACTGAGGAAGAGGAAATGAGAGGCATCAGAAGACGATTTTTTCTCTCCCTCCTTCTGTTTTTTTCCCTTTTAGATAATATATATTGATATTATGACTCTATACCATATGGTATTGGGTGGTAACGAAATATATATTGATATTACCACACTATATCCTATGGTAATGTATGGTATTGCGTGGTAACGAAATATATATTGATATTACCACTCTATACCATATGGTATTGTGTGGTAACGAAATATATATTGATATTACCACACTATACCATATGGTATTGGGTGGTAACGAAATATATATTGATATTACCACACTATACCATATGGTATTGGGTGGTAACGAAATATTCATTGATATTACCAGACTATACCCTATGGTAATGTATGGTATTGCGTGGTTACGAAATATATATTGATATTGCCACTCTATACCATATGGTATTGTGTGATATTACCACACTATACCATATGGTATTGGGTGATAACGAAATATATATTGATATTACCACACTATACCATATGGTATTGGGTGGTAACGAAATATATATTGATATTACCACACTATACCATATGGTATAGACTGGTAATAACTGGAAAAAAATTTTGTGTCAAAAAAATATCAAAGTGGATATCATTTTGAAGAGCATAATTAATATGATCTAACTGTGCAAAAAAAATTAAATTTCGACTTAAAACGAGTGAGAAATCGTCCGTTAAAGATTAAGAGAAGGAAAATTAAAGTTTTTTCGATGAGAGAGAAGGAGGTCCTGATGTGGTCGGTCAAAAGTCAGCGCGTCAGCAATAAATAGGGGATACGTGCATTTTACCTTACTGCCCTTCCGCATTTAATTTAAATAAAAAAGTGGACTGACACGTGGAGATCAGAGAATGTGTTACTGATGGGTTACTGACCCATCAGTTACTGACACGATCCGCTCCTTGGTTACTGACCTATAAGTAACTAAATCTGGACCTTTAGATCTAAGTGGGTCCAGAAAATTCAGATCTAAAGGTTGTCAATTAAAGACATTTTATTTCTCTGCTTTTTTAATCGGCTCTTATCTTTTTCGTTTTAACTCGGAATTCAATTTTTTTTTTTGCACAGATGGAACGAGTTCGTTGTGCTCTACAAAATGAGATCAATTCTCAATATATTTCGAGAAACTTTTTTTTACCAACTACATACCATATGATAACTTCTTCGTTTTTAAGTCTTTTTTGAAAACGTTTGCTTAGAAGGAACGAGTTCATCATGATCTATTGGATCTATAAATTTCTGGGTGAAAAAAATACTGGATAAAAAATTATCATACTTTACCACTATGGTACGTGGGTGGTAACTTGTAGTTAAACAATGATGAAAGTCGTAAATGACAGTTAGTATACTCCTACTATCATGTATTCAACATTCTTATATTGGTATGTTCGTACCATCATGGTATGTTTTCTTACCATATGGTATTAAATAGGAGCATACAATATGGTAACGACTGGTAAAAAATTATTCAATTTTTTTTTGTACTAAAAATATATCAAAGTGGATATCATATTACAGGAAAAAATAAGAGACTTTACAAGAAATAGAGAATACCGATTTCATATTTATGTAGACAGGTTACTGATGATTACTGACTTGATATGTTCTCAGAGACCAAAAGATCCACCATACAGAGAGTGAGCACAATAATGGCAGCCCCCACCCCTTTCCTCAGCTTGGCCATTCTCCTCAACATATTATTCTCCTCCGCCGCCGCCACTTCTACCATTCCCCAAAGCCAAGCCGCCTCCTACAACTACAATACCTCTCTCTCTCATTCTCCGTAGACCTCTTCTCCCGCCAATAAATCACCACCACCGGACCCACCTCTGCCGCCGACTACAAATCACTCGTCTCCGCCAGGCTCCGCCGCGACTCCGCACGTGTCAAATACATCGCCGCCAAGCTTTCTCTCGCTCAGTCCCAATACAAATCCAAGCATCTGCGGCCCGTGCCGAGCGCATCGGAAAAGTTCCTTCGCTTTTGCCCCGACGAGTTCATTTCCGACGTCGATCATTAGGAATGTGAAGCAGCAAGGGACGCGGTTGACCTTCGACCTCGCAAACAGACGCATCGGATTCTCCACGCATAAATGTTAGTTGGAAAACGTACGTACGTTTCTACTCTTGTTTTAGATGGAAACAAGTTCAATTCGATCCATATGAACTTTTGTAATTCGGCCATCTTGGCACATGAATGTTCTTTTTAATTTGGTTATACAAGTACACGAACTTTGGTGTTTTTAGTCATCTCAATATATTTACTTGACTATTCCTAATTTATGAGTAATTTTAATTAGAGTTGATAACATAACATTAACGAGTTTTTTATGTCGAGTTTAATATTTTCAGTACCAAATTGAATGTTGAATTGGAGGAAAATTAGTAGTTTATGATTCAGAGATTAATCTGTATAAAATTATTGATTAACCGTTGATTGAATCATTCATGCGCTGAAATAAAAATATATATACACTTATTTAAGATATAATTTAACATTAACCATAAACACCACGAAGTAGACATCAACAATACAGAGATATATTGTAGTCGAATGGTTAGCACACTGTCCCTGAACAGCTCAAGCATTGGTAATTATTTTGATATCATTTATTCATTTTAAACTTTATTTTCACTACTTTCCATTTCTTATTCTTTTCAGCATTTGTTTTCAGTATTTTTTATGTACCTGTTTGTGCCATGTACCCTCCACGCCTCAGACGGTTCCCGCACCTCCTTAGACCCCTCTGCGTCTTCCCTGCGCGTTCGCAACCTGCACACTACGGCGCCCAGCGAACCCCTTGGCTGGGGTTCGTTAGCACTCCGACGCCCAAGTCAGAACGAACCTTCTAGTGAGAGAAGTGAGATGTAAGTTTAGAGAGAAGTTGGAACCTGAGTAAATGAGCTCCACCCACTTCACTATTTATACTCGGGGTAGGGCCGACCAGTGCTCCCCAAATCCGCCCCACGTCATCACCTCATTAAATGCACTGTACCATCCTTTCCTCAGGCGCCCTGCCATTCTGACACCCATCTTGGCCCCGAAGGCGCATGGTCCCACCTCCTGTCCCCTCCGTACGTCACTGGCCGTTACTTCCCTTTTGTCGTCCAGCGCCCTGTTTCGGGCCCGGTTCCGCCACTTGGGCCATGGCCTTTAGCCCTTTTCTCGGCCCAGGCCCACACTCTGGGCCCAAGCCTGCTTCCTGGTTTCTTGCTTGGGCCACTCACTATATGTCCCCCAACAGTACCTTCCTATTTTATGCTTAAAAAAATCTTTACCCATTTTCAATTTTTATCAATTAAATCTCACTCTTTAGATTTTAATAACTGTTTCAGTTGATATTTTTGTTCTTTCAGTTTGTTTAATATCTAAATTATTCGTAATCATTCATTTTAAACCTTGAAATAAATGAAAATTAGCTACAAAACGCATAATAATTTTTCATCTCCATCCAATTAAAATATTTAAAACAATGGTATATATTACTTAACAATTTGCCTATGCAATTTTACTGAAGTGAAAAACATATTTTCTTTTCTGATTTTGGCCCCCGGAAGTCCAATTCCTGGTTTCGCCCCTGAAACCACATAATTCATCACCAAAAGTTCTGTCTAATCGTTTAAATTATATCATAAAAGAAATCTTAAATTATTTTATTAAATTCAAGTTAGTAAATCGGGTGGAAAACAAAAAAAAAGTAATCCAGGTTGAATGGTCTTAGTTTACGTTAAATTTTTTTCTTATTCATTTTTTATGTTATTAAAATAGTGAATCGGTGGACCATTTAACAAGGGTGGTTTACCTGATTTCATGTCAAACCGTTAAAACCTGTTCAGTCCATGTGATGGACCCAAAAATTTTATAGAGGGGCCAGGGGTGTCCATTTTAAAAAATTAAATATTTTAAAAATTAAATTAAAAAATATTCTACTATTACAAGTTATGATAAATGCACGACGTGGTTTTATGTTCTGGAGAAAATTGTAAAATATACTCACGGTCTACACTGTTCAACAAATCTCTTTCAATATATGTACTAGACAATCATTCACAAACGGATCGCCTATTCGATTCTGAAACTTACTTTTTTAACCCAGAGCTTAAAAACACTCTCAACACTTGGAGTTGCAACTGTTAAAATCAATACAACTTTGAGGAGCAAATAGATACGATAGATTCATTAATGTTGTCTTCAACATCAACTGAGCTAATTCATTAGTTCATTTTAATCCACATAATAACTCAGAATTCTTAACACAATGATAGTAATTCTCAAATCTCGTGGAAAAGAATTAGAAAGATGACCAAACTCTTTATGATAAAATCGTGTGTTAGAATACGACGGAGATAAGGGATAGCCTATGGATTTAATTTTAGATTTTGAAAAAATTGGAGATAGAGTCGTATGTTTATGTTTATATTTATATTTATATTTATATTTATATTAAAATTACAGTGACAAATGAACGGTAGTCAAATAAAAAACATGTTTACTAACATAGTTAGTAAAATAAGTTACGGGAAAGTTACGTATAAAATACATACGTGTATTTTACTTTGTTTCTATGCTAATGTTACGTTTAATAGTATGTTAATATTCATATATCTATAAAATTAATTATTTTAATAATAAATAAATATATAAATAATAGTAAAGGTAATAACTTAATACGGGAGCCATAAAATGAACGGAAAAAATGAAACAGTTTGACAATAATACGAATACGGAAGTTTTAAACGGATAAAATACGTACGGGTACATGTACGTGTATTAACGGAGTATTTACTAACTATGTTTACTAATAATTATAGTATCATGCTTTGAATCATATAACCTGTTTTCTTTTCTTATCAATCCGTCCATTAAATCCATATGCAGAGGTTGTCCATTGACCTTGAAAATTAGAAAAAAGGATTAGGAGATGGGGAAACATTGGAATTAGCAAACTCTAATTTGTCAATTAATTCGCTTTGATACTGGCTGGTTCACTTGCTATCATGCTATGTACATCTTGTGAGTTGATTGACCTTGCAATTAATTAGCAAACTCTAGGTTGTTGATATTCGGTTTTAATATATCGGATTTTTGGACTTTATGTGATTATCCGTGGTATGTTTTAGCCAATTGGTGTTATTTTAGGGCTCCCTAACCCGGAAATGGTTGAAAAACCATTACTGCCTAGTGCCATGAGTTTGATATGATGCAGGTGGAGAAAACACGAAAAAGTGCACCGGCAAACAATTCTCGAATGCTGGGCTGGGCTAAAAGCCCAGCTGGATGGGGATTAAAGCTTGGGCCAGGAAGATCTCGGGGCGGAATTAATTAAGGAAGGGGAGTTGGCAATTGATGGGATCGGAATTAGTGAGCAGTGATTCTGAGGAGGAGTACGAGATGGAAGACTACAATCAACACCAGGGGAATCCTCAGCAGGCTCCCCTGGTGAATCAGGTCCTGGGGAACAACCCCATACCCCAGGATCATGGAGTTCATCATCCACCGCAGCCGGGTCCCACCTTGGAGTACTACTACACTCCTCGGATTGCTGACATCCGCCCGGTCATCCTCTACCCGCCTATTCCAGCAAATAACTTTGAGATCAAGCCATGCTGGATTCAGCTCATCACATCCTCTATCCAGTTTCATGGCTTGAAAGATGAGGAGGCCAGGGTACATCTTTCCCGTTTTCTGCAGCTGACGAACGGGTTCAAGCTGAATGGTGTCCCGGATGATGCAATCCGCCTTCATCTTTTCCCCCATTCTCTGGCGGGGAATGCTAAGAGGTGGTTGGAGACCCAGCCCCCATTGTCCATCACCTCTTGGGACGATCTAGCTGACAAATTCGTGCACAGGTACTATCCGGCATCGAAGACTACAGAGATTCAGCGGGAGATCACTCACTTCCGCCAAGAGCCAGATGGTCACTTCGTGATGCTTGGGAGCGGTACATGGGATATTTCTGGCAGTGCCCCCATCATGGCTTCAGTGATGCATTCACAGTGGGGAACTTTTACATTGCCCTCTCTCCAGATAGCCAGAGAGTGATTGAGTCTCTATGACCAGGAGGGGATGTCCTCACTAAGACTCCACCCGAGCTGAACCAGATGATTAATACATTGGCTGCCAGAGATCATTCCTGGGGGCAGAGCAGCAGAGGCAGACATTCCAGGGACCGTGGTGTGCACTCCATGGAGACCAGATCCGGGCTCAAGCAGCAGGTAGCCGAGCTAGTGCAGACATTGAAGCAGCCCAACAGTCTTATTCCGGGCAGAGGGTTGGCTACACCTCCAGTTGCTCAATGTCAGTGGTGTGAGAGCTCGAATCACCTAGTGGAAGACTGCCAGGCTATGAGGGAGTCTACTACCCCCCAGGAGCAGTTGGACTTCATCGCCAATGCTCGGCGCCTCGACCCGTACAGCACCACATATGATGAGGGGTGGCGCCAGCATCCCAACTTCTCTTGGGGCAGCAACACCACTAAGCCACCTGGTTTCCCAGCACCAGCAGGTGGCTTTCAGCAGAGGCAGCCCTACCAGGCTCGACAGGGGCCAGTTCCACAGCAGCAGCCCTACCAGCCTCGACAAGGGCCAGTTCCACAGCAGCAGCCCTACCAGCCTAGGCAAGGGCAACCCTTCCAGCAACCCCAGCGCCAGTTTGCCGAGACAGCAGCAGCTCCAGCTCCAGATACTCAGATGACGAAGCTGGAAAATATTCTGGCTTCATTCATGACGAGCACTCAGGCGACTATCACGAGGTTGGACCTGAGTGTAGCCTCACTGGAGGCAGGTTAGAGGAACCAGGGTGCCATTTTGCAGGATCTGCAGACCCAGGTGGGCATCTTGGCCCGCCAGAACACCACCAGGGCACCGGGGACTTTGCCTGCCACCACTGTCCCGAATCCTCGGGATCCTCACCAGCTCCAGCAGCTTGATGCCATCACTACCAGGAGTGGCAAGACCACATCAGCTGCTCCTGCCCAGCCCAGTCAAGTTGATCCACTACCTGCTTCAACACTTCCAGCTGATACTGCAGACGTGGGGGAAGACACAACAACGCCTGCTCCCAAGCCACAGCCAGTGGTTAAGGAGCATGTACCCCAGCTTCCTTTCCCCACTCGCCTGCATAAAGACAGGCTGGAGACTGAGTTTGCCAAGTTCATGGCAATGTTGAAGCAGGTCAACATCAGCATGCCGTTCGTGGAGGCACTGTCAAAGATGCCCAAGTATGCCAAATTCATGAAGGACCTCCTCACCAACAAGAAGAAACTTGGGGATCTTTCGACAGTGATGCTGAGCGAGGAGTGTTCTGCCATCCTGCAGAACAAGCTGCCCGAGAAGCGAAAAGACCCAGGGAGTTTCACTATCCCTCTTGTTATTGGCAGCATGCATGTAGGAAAGTCCTTGTCGGAACTAGGCGCTAGCATAAATGTCATGCCTTATAATCTGTTTAAGAAGCTAGGCCTAGGTGAACCTAGAACTACTAGGATGAGCATTCAGTTAGCTGATCGTTCTATCGTGCATCCTAGGGGTATCATTGAGGATCTGCTTGTTAAAGTAGGTGCATTCACATATCCTGTTGATTTTGTTATTCTTGATATACATGAGGATGTGGATGTGCCTTTGATTCTAGGTAGGCCATTTCTCGCCACCGCCAAGGCACTTATTGATGTGCATGATGTGCATGATCTTACGTGCTGGGAATGAAAATGCTACTTTCTCTGTGACTGAGTTTGATCACTGTGCTATGATTGCTGTCACCCCTGTGCATGCCATTTCTGATCAGGTACACGAGCCTGTCGTGTATCCTTCTGCACCTCCTATTTTGCAGGACCCTCCTATCATTCCTTCGCCGCCACTCCATCCAGCCTCGCCTCCGAACAAAAAGCTCAAGGAGGAGTGGCGGCCGAAGCAGCAGGTTGCTAAGCCTGCACGGAAGAAGAATGGAGACCACTATGAGCTGGTCCCACCTCCTGCACCACGACCACCCTGGCCGTCTGGGTACTCACTCGCCTGCATCTTGCCAGATGGGAAGGTCGAGCTGACTGATGATGGTGGTCGCATCCGTCGGGTGCATGGCCACAACCTCAAGCTGTACCTCAAGAGCGACGTGGATCCGCTCTCACCTGTTCCTTCACCTCCCTGAGTATCCACCATGGGCGTCCAGCTAAAAGACGGTAAAGAAGCGCTTGTGGGGAGGCGACCCCACCGCGGTTTGATTTTCTTTCTTGTGTTTTGAGTCGGATTGTAACCCGGTTTGGGTTTACTTTGTTTTCTTTTGGTTTGGATGATATTTTATTGGGCTGACCATTGAACCTAACATATTGTGTTTGAGCTCTTCTGTTTTCCTTTGGCTGTGCTTGCCCCGACTGGCCCGTTTCCAGTCTCCCGCAGTCCGTGCATACCGGTAACATCGTTCCCTTTTTCTTTCCCTCTTCTCCATTGAGGGCAATGTCGATCTTAAGTGTGGGGGGATGTTTATCTTTTGACTGCATTAGATCTGTTTGTGTGCTTGGAGCCTAGTCCACTGTCCAAATTTTTAAAATTTGAGGGCTCCAAGTACGTGTTTCCATGCAATTGCCTGCTCAGTATGCTTTGAATTGACAGTCTTTATAGTAATATGCAACCTAGGGAGGTAGTGTAGCACTATGGAGGATGTTGATGCATTTAAGAAATCTCATTTCTTCTTCATATTGTGTTGGTTGATTGAGTGAATTAGTGATCTTAGGACCCTTGAATTGTGTGATGTTGTGGATTTTCTACCTGTCATGGACTCTTGTGTCATGTTTTGAAAATAACAGGTGCTCGAAAATGTGCTTCCAAATAAACGTCTCCCGTGCGAATAGGGCGAAAGTGTGTAAGGGGAGACGGGAATTCGTTCCCAATTTCCACCTACTACCTCCAGCCCCTAACATGTCTTTCCCCCGCATGAGGCTCGAGACATCCGCTCCTGGCATGGCCGGTAAGAGCAGGTTGGGACCCTTGAAAAAGAAAAGAAAAGAAAAATATCAGAAAACAAGCAAAACAGGAAAAAAGGGGGTTCCAACCATCTTTAAGCAGAAAATAGAGCACCTTGAAAAATGTGAGTCCATGGTCTTTTTTTTTTTGAGAATCTCTCCATCCACAATTCATTTGTCCTCTGTTCACTATTTTCCATGATGCCGACTCGATACTAGTGCTCTCGCCGAAGAAGCTATGAGATGACTTGTGCGTCGGTTGACCTCGTAAGTTGCTAAATGATCTAGGAAGTCCTCTACCTACGATCTGGGTTGTTTGTTGCTATAGAGGTCTGGAGAGTTGCATTGGTTTGAGTTAGGTTTGCTTGGGGACAAGCAAACGGTTAGTGTGGGGGAGTTTGATAGCGATGTAATTGCACATATTTGTGCCCCTAGTTCTCATCCGTTTGAGGGGCATAGTCGTGTATTGTGGCCTATTTTACGTCGGGTTGTGCTATTTTGTCATGTTTCAGGTCCCAGGTGTCAAAGGGAAGGCTAAGCGCGAGTTTCGGGGCGTTTGGAAGTCATTTCGGTGAGCTGGAGCCAAAACACGGGCAGCCTAAGGCATTACACGGCCGTGTTCCTGTGGCCGTGCTTTTTATACCGAGAGCTGAGCTGATTACACGGGCAGGGCCGAGACAAAGCACGGCCGGGTTCAATCATTACGGCCGTATCCAACGCGAAGCACGACCGTGTTTCCTCCCAACTGCTGGCCGTGTAATTAACCTTGGCCGAGACACGGGCGGACTCAGGCAAAGCACGGCCGTGCCCTCGACCGTGCTCTGGCCACTGATACCTTTGTAAGCAGATTTTCAGCCAAACAGAAGGGGATTCGAGTTTTAGAGAGAGATATCAGTTCCTAGAGAGAAAAAGCGACGAACAAGAGTCTCCAAGTGCCCTAGATTGATCTTCAACACCATTGGAGGCCAGCTTGAGCTTGGAGAAGTGCCGATCAACATCCAGAAGCAGGAATCCATCCTTCACAGTATGAATTCCGCGTCTGATTCTGCTTTTGCTTCTTTCTCTATGGAGTAGTTCTCCCATTCATCTGGGTATGGAGAACCCTAGATTTGTATGTTAGGCTTTGATTGTATGAACCCAAGTACTGATTCTATGATTTGATTATATTCGATTGAGGTTTGAATGATTGAATGACTTGAATCCTGATCAAATTCCTGTTGTTTCTGCTTTGACCTAGAATGAGAATATCTGCCTAGGTTGATAGAGCATCCTTGATTGAAGGTAGGGAGTTGGTGACTTTAGTCGAGGAACCAACTCACTATTCTGTACCGGATTTACTCCGGTAGTGGAGGTTTTGTTCTTAGGGTCTCAATCTGTCTACTCCGGTGGAGGTTAGTCGCCCGCTAGAGATTCAGATTGAGAGGGTCTGAAGACCTTTAGTCGAGACTTCAGGCTGTTTAAGAATCTTCCGCAGTATAACTTTCATAGAAACTGAACTTGGTAATTACAATCCGGCATAACTGCAGTCTAGGGGGAACCATATCCGGGTGACCTTTCTTAACCTGAATACAACCGTTTACTTGCTTTGTTAGTTTGTTAGTTTAGACTTGCATTAAAGTTTCATTGCTAGATAACAAGAATTCACTGAGTAGTCATCAAATCTAGGACCCGGGTTGATAATTAAACCCAAACCCGCTATACTACGCTTTAGGAAGTGGTTTCACTTGGCCAATTCCTGGAGTGACAGTAGAGTCGAGTCAAGGAGGCTCACCCAGAGGGATGGAATTAAAGAATACGTGAAGGAATTCTCGGAGCTACTTCTAGAATTTACCGACATCACGAACAAAGGCCATGCACGAATTTCTTGATGGGGTGCAACCGTGGGCCAAGATAGAGATGAAAAGGCGAGGAGTGCAAGACCTTGCAACTATCATGGCCGCGGTGGAGTCCTTTGTTGAGTACAAAAGCAAGAGAACAACAAGGATAAGAGTTCGAAGGCTAAGGGCGAAGAACAACGACAACCTTTCAAGGAGGGCACTCACACTCAACAACATGATGGCCCAAGAAAAGGGGGATAAGTACGAACCAAAATCCATTTTTTTTATTTCCTTTGTGATGGACCACATCGAGTGCGAGATTGCACAAGGAAGTTGAGATTGACAGCCATGGAGGCTCAAGATGTAGAGTCTAAGGCAACGGAAGCCAAGATTGGCTTTATACGTAAGCTTGGGGCGGTGAAGACTGACGCTAAGGAGAGCAAGCGTGGGAGGTGCTACATTCTGACCAAATTCATGCAAGGAGAGTCAAAATCCTTGGTGGATACAGGTAGGGTTGTACATGGGTCGGGTGGTTCGGGTTTGGTCATTTTAATCACCCAACCCATATATTACAATTTTGAAAATGTTAAATCAAACCCAACCCAAAAAAAAATTAAAATTCTACGGTTTGTTTATAATTGGGTTGGGTCGGGTTGGAGATACTTTTAATTAAATATCCAACTCAACACAAAAAGGCAACTATTATACACTACGAAAATATTATATAACTGCTTAAGATTTTAAACAAATAAATCGAGGCAAAAAGTTTTAATATGCATAAATATTGTTTGGATTTTAATGAAATGCAATTTACTTTAACATATATCTAGTTTTTTCATAAATATTTGTCAAAGTAAGCCAAAGTAGTTATAAGCTAACACATTCATAATATGTTGTTCTTCTAAAATTGTACACACAAGAAAAAAGATACGTGAATCATAGCTTATATTAAATCTACGTCTAAATATTAAGTTGAAGAATGTATTCGACTATAAAAACCACAAGAGAAATATATGATAAGATAGCTTAATTTTCTCACAAATATATTTATTTATGACACAAATATGTGTTGTATACAAACACTTATGACAATAGTTCAACACAGGTTGGTTTTACGGGTTGCCTTACCCAATAGAGGTTGGTTGTACAGAAGAAAACCCTCACCCAACCTTAAACTTCAACTTTGACAATAAATACGGGTGGGTTAGGTCGGATTGGACGGATGGGTCGGTTTGCGGGTTGTTTTGTTCACCCCTAGATACAGGAGTCACGGACAACTTCCTTCGTATCAAGGAGGCAAACCGGTTGGGTATTGCCTACGAGAAGGGGGCAAGGGTGGCTCAAGACGATTAATTCGGATTCCATCCCAATTCATGGAATTGCTCACAATGTCCCAGTGAAGCTTGGCGAATGGGAAGGCATCATCGGCTTCTTCGTCGTTACCATGGATGAACACCCAGTCATCCTCGACATTAACTTAGCTTCCTCGACAAGAAGGTAATGCTCTTGAAGCCCAACTCCAACATGATGTGCTTGGAGAAGGGAGAGAAGTTTCACGCGGTCCATCTCTTAAGGGAGGATGGACCCCATAGTGCTTTGTCCACTATGAAGGATTTGAAGGGGTTCAAAAAGAAGGAGCCAGCATTTCTTGTCTCCTTGAAGATGGAGGAAGAAGGAGGCTCAATGGGAACCACAACTCCCATCATCGACGGCGTTCTCGAAAAATTCGATGACGTGATGCAAAAGGAGTAGCCTAAAAAGCTTCCACCAAGAAGAGAGGTGGACTACAAGATCGAGTTGGAGTCGGAAGCCAAGCCCCCCTCGCGAGCACCATACCGCATGGCCCCATGAGAGCTAGAGGAGTTGTGGAGGCAGCTCAAAAACTCGTTGGGTGCAGGCTATATGCAGCCATCGAAGTCACCTTATGGTGAAGAAGGAAGGGTCGTTGTGCATGTGCATCGACACCTCCATATATGCACCCTCAAGTAGAAATTCGTGAGGTTCTACACCCAAAGCGGACAATATCTTATCAGAAAAAGGTTCGAGATGTTACATTGTCCATTTGGGAAAAAATAAAAGATTGAGAACATATAATTCAATAGTATTTTGAAGTGGATTGTTGTTTCATAAATCCATGTTGGGTTAGAGTATTTTTGCATAAAAAATTTGTTTATCTTTTATACATTGTAAAGATGATTATGGCTTATGAAAATATATCATTCTCCTGCTATGTGTGATCACTCAAAAGAATAAATTATTGATCTTTAACTTATCAAATTAAATTCTTCCGCAACTAAAAACATGAAGAACAAAAAACACGAAAAATTCCAATTTTGCCATTTCATATGTTTTACATCATTAAAATGCCTGAATATGAAGCGCTATTCAACTTCATCTACGTGCAATTGGTACTCATATCTCTACCCGAGTCAACTGTAACATAAATTCTAAACCACAAAAACAAAGTTTGGCAAATTGATTAATTACCAGCAAATTACCGTTCAATAACTAACCACTCAACGCCATCAACCTTGTTTTAGGAAAACAGGAGAAAAACACTCAACGCCATCAAAACCAGTAATAAAAAAAAATAGCGAAAAATTATCTATAAGAACACCAGAAAGAACAAAAGGAGACACCAATTAAAATAAAAAATAAAACAGAATAAAATAAAAAAATAATGGCGACAATGGCAGAGACGACATGTCGCATGCTCCTCCTTTCCTTCCCGGTGCTCTTCCTTCTTCTATCCAACGTCGGCACCGTCGCCGGCGACGGCTTCTTGGACGAGATCAACACGGAGTCGCTGTCGTCGCTCTTCTCCAGCGGCAACCTCGACGACGCCAAGAAGGCCATGTCGGCTGCTTCCCCGGACGTGAAGGGAGCCGTCGCGCAATTCGCCGGCGGAGACAGCGCGGCGTCTTCTCCCGAGCTGGCTCAGGCTTATAAGGATGCGGAGGAGGAGAAAGACGGAGCATCGTGGAAGAGTTGGCTCAAAGGTAAAATGAGGTAAGAAATTCCTGATAAAATTATCTCCTCCCTAATTAAATTCTTGTTCCGTTTTTATTTTTAAAAAAGAAATTATATTAGTGTTACATTAGCTTCAATTATTGAAAAAATATATATATATGATAAAGTGTCTGTTTTGTAAACCGAAGGTCTGACCTTCCATTCTGCATTGGAAAATGGTAGAGGTAGATATATGAATCGGTGAATTGGATTGGTATGGTCGATTCATTATCAAATGGGTTGGTGGAATGATTCATTGATTCAAATAGCATCCAAGTCTTGGATTCCGGTTACTGAATCAATTTGCTAGCTTTAGCGGTTGAGCATGTAAATTTTGAAAAGTTGAGGTACTAAAATGCCATAATAAAAAGTTTTAAGTATCAAAATATTATTTTCTAATGATATTTTTTGGAAAAAAAATAAATTTTAGGTATCGGATTACAAAGTATAAAAAATATAAGTACTAAACTGTAATTTACCAACGATTCATGAATACTATCTAATTGAATTTGGATTAAATGAATTGAATTTGTCTGGTACTTAAGTGGATACATTGCATTTGATTAGTGGATTGGATTTTAAATTAACACCTCTAGGCAGTTATCGTTTTGTTGTTTTAGAACAAAGGGTTGATTTGGCGGTTAAATCGTTATTTTTTTACTCAGAATTCTGAGTCTTTTCATTTGCACTCAATGTTGCTTACTATTTCATTTCTTATCCTCAGCGGCATGGGCTACGGCTCGCCGGCGGGAGCACCGGCGGGGGCACCGGCAGGCTCGCCGTTCGGGGCACCGGCAGGCTCGCCGGAAGGAGTACCAGTATCGGCAATGGGATCATCATCGTCCATATCTTTGTCGCCTTCCGCGGAAGATCATGAAGCACCGGCCCCCGCGCCGTCGGCATAGAGATAAGATGATACACGGTCGAAAATATATAAGGACGATGTAAAATTTAGTTTCGCCGTCGGAATCATCAACCAATTGTTACGAAACGAAACAAAATAAAAAAAAAAAAGCCATTGAATCGTGTGGAGTATGGATATGGTTTTCATTTGTAGCTTGAATTCGAAAATTAACTTTTGTTGTAATTATGGATTGCATTGGTCTACATACATATGCCCTTTACGTTATATTTTGTGCCTTGATAGCTCCGGTTTGTTGACATATATGCTTAGAGATAAACTAATCTAAGGAATGAATCAACAAAAGATTCATATTCCCTAACAAATTATATAAATATGGATCAATGTGTATGAGACTTGAGAAGGTTTAGGGTTGGATTCCCCGACAACTACGCCCTCTAATAAAAAAGAACGTTTGTGATTAAACAAAGAATGATTGAAGTACTCGTTTAGTAAGCACATAATCAAGCACATAATGTAGAATTCATGTGTTTGAAGAACTTTGTGTGTGTTTGTAGGTAGGATTTTGAGAACTCTTATAATATTAGAATCATTGTTTGGTCTACATAAGTTTATGACTGTTAATGAGCCGAGTCGAGCCGAACTTTGCCATAGCTCGGGCTCGAGCTCGTCGCGAGCTTTAATATGCAAGCTCGAGCTCGACTCGTTTATGAAAATGAAAGCTCGAGCTCGGCTCGCCAAATAAGTCTAACGAGCCCAAAAACGAGTTCTACACATAAAATGTTCATTATAGCTCAAGATTTAGCTAGAACTGAGCACAAAATTACATTCAAACTTACATCAAAGTAGGGGTGGCTATACGGTCCGGTTAAATTGGACCAAATTGATCCGGTCTCAGTCCGGTCTTTTCGGGAATATAAGGACCAAAGATTGGATTGGATACACTCCGGTCTTGATCCGGTCCGGTCCCAATTTGATTTTGATTTTAGATTGAGTTTGTGGGGATTTGAGTGTTGGGGTCTCTTATCCGGTCTTTATCCGGGTTTTTTACCTCAAATCTAAACCCGAATATGCGATTGGATTGTTTGCTATCCGGTCCCGGTCCGGGTTATACGGTCCGGTTTCGGGTAAAACCAAACAGTCCTGGACCAAATTGCCAGCCCTACATCAAAGTGTAGCAAAACAAAACACAATATTTATCCAATTTTAATACATAAAATTCATGAATTCCAATCCTTTCTAATGCCAAACCGTTAAATGAGCTTGTTCGCGAGCTTTCAAGCTAAACATAGTATGACTCGAGTTCGGCTCGTTTAGTTAACGAGATTGTTCGCGAGTCGACTCGATTAAAATGAATAGAGTCTCGAACGAGTTTTTCTCAAATCGGACGCCGAGCCGTTCATGAACTGCTTAGTTCGTTAACAACCCTTTAGTTTCATATGAAGATATGTTAGGTCGTGCAATGAATTGTGAAGGTTATGTTCTGAACTTGAGATGTGTCCAATCTTTGTAAGAACAATAAAATAATAATCATACAACGTTATTTAAAAAGTGATATATTTTCACCATTGTTTAAAGCAGAATTATATATTAGCTATTCATTTTGCGTATTCTGAATAAGATCATTTTATCAAAGGTAAGATAGTCTAACGGTAAAGCTGTCGCGACAGTGAAGATTTGGGATTTGCAGATCCCAGGTTCGAATCCAAGCGAGGTCTGTTGGTGTTCCCGGAGGTACAAGGCTGCTGGGGGAGAAGTCTTGTTTGCGTCGAATTTGATTGCAGGTGGCCCCCAAGTTTAGTAGGACCCACTGTCACAAAGTGACACGTGGGCTGAGGTTCCTGGGTAATAAAAAAAACAAGATCATTTCCAGTCGTCACTAAAGTTAATCAATTAAGATTTAATTGTTTCATTTTAAAATACAAATAGGACCTTAACATTCAGTATACATGCCTTTTATATATATAGACATAGGTTCAAACTAATCTTATTATACGCCTGGTAAGTTTCGCTATTTAGATTTTTAATTAGTTGGAAATTTGAGACACGCTACTATAACATAAACTTTAATTGGTAAACTTTATACCATAATTTTCTAAAATCAAATCATAAGATTGGTTTAATTAAAAAATAAAAATTGACGATTTTAATTCATGAAATTCCCGATATCATGATATATGCTCTAGAAAAACATATAAAAAAATCAATGAAATTGATAGATGATAGATTCTAAGGATATATATATATATATTGAGTGGATGTCAACCAGCGGGTTGACCCGCCAGTAGATCCATTTTCACCCAGACCTAGTAAGAACATTTTGCCACACCCACCCACTAGTCGACTCGCTGCAGCCTGCAAGGTTACTGGGTTGGAGGTTACATGATGTCGCTTTTACCTTTAATTTGTGAAGTGAGCATCTTTTTCGATCTTCTTCTTCACCTAACCCTATGGTTGGAATTCTAAGTTGAACATTTGAATATTGATGTTATATAAGTGTGCATGAATGTTCAGTATATATTGTATCCAAATATGACCTATTATCTTGATGTAGTGTTACATGTTATTACTCAAATGTTAGGTGAAATTTGATATAATTTATATATTTATAAATAATATAATATATATTTTCACATATCTAGTTTAAATCGGACTAAAACGGTCGGATTATTAACTCTCAACCCATTTACTCGACGAACCAACAGGTTAAATCGGATTGACAACCTAATATTTTCGTTGCGATTCATTTGAGTTATCTTTTTTCTGTTCTGATAAGATGATTATGGATCTGGAAATCCAAATATGTGGTGAATGTTACATATTCAGGAACGTGATAATGATTAGATCTACCGTATCCTAGAGAAGAAAAGTGTTTTCGAGTTTCGACTCGAGTGTTAAGAATGAGAAGAAGAGGACAAATTAGGGAGGTCAGAACCCGTGCCTGAAGGCTGAATCAATAGCTATCAGGCCGCAGAGATCCAGTAAATATAACGTATGGGTTTCGTTTGGATTCTTTTGTTCCCTTCACTTTTTCTTTTCCACCCTCTGTTTTCCTTTATTCCTTGTGTAAGTAATCTGGAGAAGATTTTAGATAATAACTAGTGTGGGCCCCGGCCATTTGGTCGGAGGAAGGTAGGATGGCAATGGGTCGGGTTGGGTCGGGTTTTGCCAAATTCAAATCCAAATTCATGGGTTTATCCGTGAAAAAAATTCGGGGTAAAATCCACTGGGTTTGAAAAACTCAAACCCAACTCAACCCCCTGGGCATCCGCGGGTTCATGGGTACCCACAGGTTTTTGTCTTAAAAAATTTACAATAACAAGTTGCTACCAAAATTAAAGTCAAATATCAATCTCTCAATACAAATTATCCATATATAAAATACCATTCTAGAAAATTCAAGCAAATAACAAATTATCCATAAATAACATGATTAATTGAAAGCTTCTTCCTTTCAATTAAGTTTCTTCACTCTCCACTCGATAACATCAACTTCATTCTACACAATTAAAAAGAAAAAATTAGACATGTCTCCACAAACATAAATAAGATAAGTTATTTAGAATATTAAATATATCGAGAAAATTAATTATATGGGTGTGGGCGGGTACCCATGGGTCGGGTTTACCTAAACCCAAACCCAACCCAATCCGATGAATATTGAACGGGTTTAAACCCAAACCCGGCCCAAAACCCGTCAACACGGATTTTACCCGCGTTGACCGAGTTGGGTAGGGTGGGTACCCGTGGGTTCGGATTTTGTTTTCATCCCTAGAGGAAGGTGAGGTATGAAATTTGATAATGTAATGGGGTGTATAACTTATTGTTGTATAGTTTTTTTTGGGAAACACGTGATAAAAATAGTGAATTTTAGCAGGAAAGAGACATTAATGATGCAACAAATCAAAAATCGGCCTTATGAACCAAAATCAAGTACATGTTACCTTGTGAAACAATATTGTTTCTGGTAATATGATGAGGTGGAGTAAGTTTTATAGAAACTGAATTCCAGAAAATCGAATAAAAAATCGCCTATCCCGTCGGTTTTCGGGAAATGAGCATCTCACAATCGTTTCTAGCTTTTACTCGGCCTGTTGGCCGATTAATTTGGTTTATAAAACTTTCATCTTGTCGTCATTGTGCTTTCTGGTTTTTTTCAGGCTATGATAAAATCTAAGGAAATAAAGAACGAACAACACGATTTGGGATAGGAACCGTCGTTGTCGTATCCCTAGAAAATGGTGGTAAACACGGACTCACCTGCCAAACTGGTTTGGATTGAGATTTTTATCGGGTATCAGGGAACCATGTGATTATAAATTAGACTTGATCAAATGGGGCCAAAACTTGAAATGCAGCCTGTTTGATTGACCCATGCCAAATTCTAATTATTCTTTACTTTTAAACTTTTTATTTGAAAATAAAAATAGTGAAAGAAAAGAGATGACTGCCATTTGCACATCACTTATTCGGGAATAAAACCATAGAAATTCAAAAGGAACTGAAAATGTTAGGATCGTTTTAATGTTTAAAATAACCAAATAGATCTTTCTGTTTAGTTTTTTACTAACAAATACCAAACGATTCCCTATAAAATACACTATGATTTGATCATTATGATATCAAATAATTATATAATATATATTTGAAATGATAAAAATTGGACTAATTGGGTTGGTCGAGGTTGAACCATTGAATAACTTTAAAATACATTATATTTTAGCCACTAAGATATAAAATAATAGCATAATATATTATGCCAGAGAAAATAGCTTGTTTTAGAATGTCAAACCAATGATGTTCATTTGTTTTACTTGATGGCCAAATCCCGTGTAGGTCAAACCAATTCAACTCTTTTATTTTATGGTTAGCGGTTAGCCCATTAGATACCATGCATGAGTTTATTGTTAAATTTTTTATTTTTAGCAATAAAAAGAAGTATTGTTTTTGCCTCTTCATATATATTTTATCACCACGGAGAAATAAAAGTGCTTAATGAAAAAATTGACACTCTTGAACCCGTTTAAATCCGCATGTGTACGGTAAGTTGGCCCGTTCCACAGAGGAAAGAGGAAAAAATTGACACTCCCTATTCTGTCATTCCTACAAACGCTCCTCGAGCAGGAAATTTGAAATGGGGGAAGGTTTTTTTCCTCTCTGCTATTATATCTTTTTAATTTAAAAAGATGCAACAAATGTACTTAGTGTGATTGGTTATGATCCTTACTTTTCATTAAAATGGTCATGGTTCGAATCCCACTACGTGTCTTTTTAATGAATTAAAAAAAGTAAGTGTGAAGACCAAAATGTCCTTCCTACTTTCACTCTCGTTGCAGAAAATTTGAAATGGGGCTCCCGTTTTTCCCTTCGGTGTATTATATTATGTGTAGATAAAAAGAAAGAACCTTATACGCTAAAAAAGTAATGAAGGAAAAACGAAAACAAAAAATGTGAAGTGCTAATGGAACTGGAAGTGGGCCAAGTGGCAATCTATTGAAGTTGCTGGTGTTGAATTCTATGCATTGGCATAATGGAGATGACATGACTTCTATTGTAACCGTATTAAAACTTGTTGAAGGCGTAAAATACGTGTTTATTAATGTCGAAATCGGGGCGCTCAATTAGTACGATATTGTCCGCTTTGGGCCAAGTCCGTACGGTTTTACTCTTGGGTGTCCTCCCTAAAAGGCCTCGTACTAATGAGATTGGTGGACACTAATATACAAGGGTTCCTTCCCTTGTATAACCGATGTGGTACTTGGATTGTCCCATAACAATCCTCCTCTCAAGCTAAGGACCACGAACACCGTGTCCTCACCTCAGCGATTATCTTGATCCGCCAGATGCCTTATATCGATGGGCTTCTCGATACAAGGACTTTACCAGACGTAGAACTCTCTTTGATCTGCTTCCCAAATGCGGAACTCTCTTTGATCCGCCAAGCCCAAACGTGGATCTCTCCTGGAACCACCAAACCAGATGCGAATCTCAAATCCCGAGGTCACCGAATGAGGGTCCACCGAACTGACGTCCACTGCTCCGAACCGAACCATGCTCCGATACCACTTGTCGTAACTGGGTAGCCCATTAGTACGATATTGTCCGCTTTGAGCCAAGCCCGCACGGTTTTACTCTTGGGTGTCCTCCCCAAAAGGCCTCGTACTAATGAGATTGGTGGACACTAATATACAAGGGTTCCTTCCGTTGTATAACCGATGTGATACTTGGATTGTCCCATAACAATTAAATTGAACATAATCGGAGAAAAAGGACGTTCACATGTGAGATATCAAATTTCTGAATATTCAGAAGTGAAGATAGGTATCTTGAACAAGATTATGGAGCAAATTACAGTCGCGATGTAATTGTCGATATAAAGGTTGATTGCGTGCAACATAGCAAGTCCAACCGCAAGGGTGCTCAAGAGGTACACAGGTTATGCAACTAGTTTCATGGCCCCGCGAATCTGATCAATCACCCTTCGCGCTTTGTGAGCTGACATAGATATATGTTGCCCAAGCAATGAATGTGTAAGTCCTCGATTTCTACATCACATTCATTCCTTGGAGATACAAAGAACGAAGATTGGAGCAAAATCAAGCTCATGAGCTTTAATAAGTGGGTCTGAATTGTTTTATGAAAAAACTTCATTATTTTCAACCGAAAATATATATTTTCCCTTACAACTCATTACCAAAATCGAATCAAGTGATGCTTGCTCACCTAAGACAATGTGGGTAATTTATTCTTAAGATAAGTTCTAGTCATCCAAATGTATGTTGTTTTCTTAAAAAAGTACCTCTCTTGCAGGGGCGGAGCTAGGATTTAGTTTTCGGAGGCCGGAATCCGGTTAACGTAAAGGACGAAAAATACTAATAAACAAATATTTTAAAAAAATTAACTATACACACAATATTTTTCATATTAAATTCAATATAAATTAGAATAATATGAAGAAATTAATAACACGTTTCAATTTTTTGTGGTATATTTTGATTTCATAACTAAAAAGTTAAGCTCTACGGATATTATTATCCAAAAGTACTCATTATATATCTGAAAGTAACCTTAGAATTGATAATTTTAATTGATATAATATTAAATTAAAATTTAATGAACCAACATATGAGGGGGAAAGGAAATTGTATACCGTAACTTTAAATAGGGTGAAAGAATTGACCATCTATTTAAGTGAAAAATGTAAAGAAAAATACAAAAATTGCTTTCCAAAGGGATCAAACCCTCGCTTAGGCACCCAATAAAGCACAAATATAGTTTCATTCCGCTGGACTACATCTATTTTCCTTGTATAATTCCTCATGTCAGTGGTTATTTGTACATTCCTTTTAATTTATACGTATAGTCTTGAACTTTTTGCACGTAACTTTCAAAATTCCTCCGAGGACTAAGTTAGCTCCGCCCCTGCTCTCTTGTATATTGAACCCTCAGATTAACTTCTCTTCTACCACAACTAGGGGTGTCCATTCGGGTTCGGTTTTCGGGTTTATCCGAAACCGACCCGATTATATACATTTTTGGTTTTTTGGGTTTGGGTTCGTTTTGGGTTACGGGTTTTTTGGTTTCGGGTTCGGTTTTGCTTATCGGTTTTTCGGGTTCCGGCTAAAAACCTACAATGAATAGAACTCATCCCGTATTCTTAGGCATTCTGGCTTTCGGGTCGGTTTTGCTTTAACCGAACCCGATAAGAAACTTTCGGATTTCAGGTAACCGGAACCCGCAAGTCCTTATCGAGATCAGGCTCGGTTTTAGTGATTTTCGGTTTCGGGTTTTTGGGTTTCGGTTCGAATAACCAAACCCGACCCGAACTGACACCCCTAACCACAACACAGAGATCGAGTGAATTGAGTGATTATAAACTCCCTTGACTACGTTATACTTATATGTACTCATGTGATGTTTTACTCTTTCACACCTGTGCGAGCTAGTCCCCTGGCCACCGTATCAAACAATGTTTTAGCAATCATCATTTACCGTGCGATTAAATTGAAAAACACTGGACCTCAAATTGTCAACGATTTTAAGAACATGAAACGTTAACATCATGATTTAAGTACAAATTACCTTACATATCAACTTTTTCATTATAGTTTCTCGTATGATTTCACAATACATACTCCTAATTCATTCCTCCACTCTCTCGATCGAGTCCCAAAACTAGATGGGACGAGCCAAAAAAAAAAGCAAAAGGATGATTGTCGAGCAAATCCCTTAGCCAGTTAGCCCTTATTGTTGACCACCTCCCCCCCTAACCTTGAAATCACTAGTCTAATCTTAGTATCACCAGAATCAAATCAAAATCACCCACATAATCTTTTAAAATCATTAAAAAAAGCAAACTTTGGGAAATGTCTTCTCCTCCCTCATCTCATAGGGATGTTAACCCCAAATTTTTGTTGGATCGGAAACCCATAATCATAATGGGCTGCTCACTCCTCCCAATTCAACGGCCCAAATTGAACGACTGGCTGCCCAAATTTTCTGTTTCAGATAAGTTGTAACTGATACCAAGACCCCTCTCTTTCGCTTGCTAATCCCAAGAACAGTAAATTTTTATACATAAAAACTTCGTCATCACTTGTCCTCTGCGGGGCCCACCTTTTTCTGGTAGCATTCAATTCTGATGACAAAATATATAATTATAGTACTCCTAACACCGCATCACAAACAAACAAAAGGATAAAAGAAAAGAAGAAAAAAAAAGGTAAGCCCTTTTTTCCTCTCTTTAATGGAAGGAAGGAGAGCAAGAACAAGAGAAGCAGAGGGCCCCGCTTTTCTTCCTTCCAGTAAATTTCAACTGTTTGTTAGATGATCCCCCACTAGAAACCCAAACAACCATGGAGCCCATCTGCCACCTCAGCCAAGACAAGACCTTCAGCTCAACTCCACACACACAAACAAACAACCAAAAACACAACCATCTTCTTCCTTTCATCTCCATCTGTGGCCCATTCCAGCTTACAGATATTCCCATCCCATTCAGCCATATCTGCAACTAATGAAAGAAAAACTCTTGATTCATCATCTCCATCCATCACCTGCAAGTAAGACTCTCAATCTAGACACTGGCAAGTGATCAATCAGAAGATGAACACAAGATCATCATCATGAATAAAACAGCTAATGACAATGTAATAATGGAAACCCAGGAGACTAAATTGAAAAACCATTACACAAAATCACCATCTTTCTCCTCTTCTTGAGACACATTTGAAAACCCTACATTCCCTTCTCACCTTCTCTTGATGATCACTACTTCCCTCTTTACTCCCATTCCTAGAAAACATTTAATGGCTCCAAGTACTGCCTACCTAGTTACCTTCTTCTAGCTTTTATATCTTCTCCATTGCAACGTACCACATTGCTCTCTCTCTCTCTCTCTCTCTCTCTCTCTCTACAACCTCGTACCCTACTTCCCCTAGCAGCCCACTTCAACTTCACTTGTACATACAAACATCACAGCATTCCCTCCTGATGCTGCTGCTGGACCTCTTCCTCGTGGTGCTGCCCCGGATGATGATGAAGGTGATGCATGTTCAAGTTCATCATGTGATTCGTCGTCGTTGTCGTCGGCGAGGGCTCCTGCTGCTGCTGCTGCTGCTGCTTCCTCACGGTCTTGTTGTTGTGCATCCAAACTTTGAACACCTGCCTCCTCACCCCAACTTCCGAGCAGAACCTCTCCACTGCCTCCACGTCCTGCTTGTTGATCCTCCACCCAACTTTCTCAGCGAACTCCATCATCCTCTCCTTCTGATCCTGAGTAAACTTGGTCCTGAACCTCTTCTTCGAAGAAGAATGCCCGTAAGGCGGCTGAGGTGTGTTAGTGGCGCCCACCATTCCCGCTGCTTCAGAGGGGAAGGCATTCAGATCCTCGCTGGAGGACTCGGTGCCGACAGTGGCTGCACTGCCTCCTCCTCCTCCTCCTCCGCTCCCCCAGCCGCCGTCGAACGCCACGTTGATTGGCTGGACGGCGGCTGGAGGGCTGGCCGACTTGAGGTAAAAATGGTGCGAGCCGGGGAAGTGGTGAGGGCTATTGTTGTGCGGATTGTGGTGGTGGTGGTGCATCACAGGAGAAGGCAATGCTGCCGGTGGAGGCAGCTGGAGTGCGTGGACCAAATGCCCACCACCACCGCCTCCGCGGCGGCGAGAGCTGAACACGGTGGGGCTGGCGGTCTCGCCGTCGATCTCCTTGCGGTGGAAGTTGCGGTGGCACTCGCAGGCGGCGCATTTCAAGGCTTCCAGGGACCCTTCCTCGCCTCCAGGCATGAACTCGCCGCATCCGTCGTAGACGTTCCCGCCGACACTCGCCGCGTGGTTGCGGAGACACTCCCGGTACCTCACCACCGGCGGCGCGGCCGTCGAGTTCCCTTTGGCGGCGGAGTTGTTAGATCCGCCGCGGTGGTGGTGGTGATCTAGGGTTTGGGAGTAGGTGAGGAAAGCTGATGATGAGTTGCCATTGTGATTCCCATCCCCTCTTCTTCCGCCTCCTCCACCGCCTTCAGTCGACATTCTTACATCGTTGTTCTCAACTTGCTGCCCTCTCACTTCCATTTTCCCCTTCCCCCAAAATTTCTCTCCTCAAACACACCAAACGAACTGTAATAAAGAAGCTCTTGTACCAACCAACCAAGCAGCAAGGCTAGTCTAGTAGACTAGGGGTAGCAATAAAATCGCTTGAGACTTTGTGCCTGCCCAGAAAGCCATATAATGAGATCAGAGAAGAAAAGAGAGAGAGAGAGAGTGATGGGATTTCAGCTTGTCTGAGTCTCTGAATCAGACTGGAAGCGAAACAGAGAAAAGAAAACCCCAGAAACCCATGGCTGAAGGAAAGAGAGAGAGGAAAAGGGCAATGAGTGAAAACCACAGAAGAGAAAGAAAGAAACACACCAGCTGGATTGACTGGGTTCAAAGCTTACTCAGATCAGCCTTCCCAACACCATAATCATCATGACTACCACCACCACAACCAGCAGGAGGAGCAGATCGATCTTTAGCGAGGACGGAAGAACAAAGGGGAAAAGAGGGATGGAAAAAAAGGAGCTTTTCTTTCTGGGTATATCTTTTTGTTGACGATGAGGGGGAGAGTTCTAATTTTGGTTGGGGAGGAGGAGAAAGGACTGGGTTTGTTTTGGGTTCGCTGCCTCAGAGCTTCCAACAAGGGACAGCTTGGTTGCTTGTGATGAAGCCACACACAATCCTTGTATATGAGCTAGGGAGCTGCCTGCCTTAAAAAAAAATTTCGAAAAGAAATGGAAAGAAATGAGCGAGAGATAGAAGGTGAGAGAAAGGGGAAGGCCCAAAATAAGAAAAGAAAGAAACTATCACTGAAAAGAGGTAGAGAGAGAAAGTGAGAGAACTGGAGGAGAGGGAAATGGAGGGATGCAAGAAAGGGGAAAGAGGAGGGGAAGACTGAAGTGCAGATTAGAGGAGATAGAGAGTACTCTTTTTTTATTTTTTATTTAATTTGGTTTCCTTTTCTCTGCAAGTAAAAAAATAAATATGAAAAATGTTAAAATGAATAAAAAACAACCGACAACGTCATGTTCATCCCTCTCCCACGCCCTGCCATATTTTGGGCCCCCACGGCGTCACATTATTGCTCTTTCTTTCTTTCTTCGTTTCACTCCTCTCCTCTTCTCTTCCTCCAAATTGGCAAAATAATCATATCTTTCTCTCATCATTGTTTTCGTATCATGTTTAGCCCTAAAACCACCACCTATAAAGACACACACAAGCTATTCATCCTATACACCCTACAAAATGTACCATCATTTTTATAGATCTTTAGTTGGATTTCATAAGATTGACTTCATATATTTATATAAGAAAACAATAAGCTAATATTTTTCATTGGATCAAAATGAGTTGGAAGTTTTGAATAGTTTATAATCAAACAATCACTCTGAAGCAATGTAGATCGGATTGAGTCATATGAAATTGAAAACTGAACTCTAGGTCGATACAAGTGTAAATTTGGACCGACTTCTGAGAGTTGGGAATCGATTTGGACGATTAACCGAGCGAATATTCCAATCCACTCAACAAATTTTGGTCGAACGATATTGTTTTAAGTATGTTTGCATTCGAGCCACGTTGTTATTGTTGTGATTGATTAATAGAGAAGGGGGAGAGAATGCACTAGCAACTGCGTTGACATGACGTGAATGATGTACAAATGGTATATTTTGCATGCGGCGTTTTAGACTAAATTACAACACCTGGATAACATGCATACTATTTGTCTATACCTGATACTTTAATTTTCGCTCAACTCACTTATCAATGTGTTATTTTGGAGTTAGGTGCAATTGAGTGGGAAAAAAAACAATATGAAAGTCTCAAGTTCGAGTCTCGTGATGGACTTCTGCTTCCCCTACAAGTCCGTGAATAACATGTAAAACACAAATAACATTGACGATGATGAAAAATATAATCATTATAATATATATTTATTTATTCACTTACATAACCACATAGACAAATAAGTATAATTATATGGATGGGAAATGCTAGTGACTCTTGTGTATACCGCGTTTCTAATGTTTAGTTATTGTACGTATTTTGACGAATCATAATCCTCGATTATTTTTTCTATCGATTGATATAGGTTAAGGTGTCATTGGGATCATTCAATCAATTATGGAGGCACTGCTTCAGATGTGGCAAAAAAAATATTTTTAAACAATTTTAAAATTATATATATGAACCATCCAATTTGAAAGTGTCTCATAAACCACAAATATAAGAGTTAAATATACTCGCTATATGTTAAAAGCCAAAAACTACAATTAGTCATTCCAAAAGCGTCTTTAGAAACCATAAGATTTTATGTAATGGGAGGTAAATGGATACACTTGAAGTATAAAACTAAATCAATTAAAATATTGAGGTGGATGGAGTAAGCCTATGTTTTAGTAAATTTAAATGAAATAAATGTGTATTCATGTAATGGGAGCTAAATTGACACGATTTAAAAACTTAAGAGATCAAAATATTAAAGTAGATGGACTTAATTAATATTTTTAATCAAATTTAATAAAATAAATGAGTATACAAAGACATTTGCTAGAATGAATGTTGCAATAAGTAAATTTTGAACCTATGTCATAGTGTGCATTTTGTAACATGTTTACCAACCGATGAATACAATGTTTTTTATACAACACCCTATACGTATAAAATTGTACAATGCCCAAAAAATCGAAACCCCTGAAATCTCATATAGTTTCTTCCATGTACGCTTTATACTATAAGGTCTCCCAGTACATACTAATGGCTGACTCTAGTTGTGAATGATCATATCCAAATTATGATTGTGTATCATACCCAATTTTTTATTTTTGATTGGCTCATGTTCTAAATAGCATCACCTCACTAGAACTTTAGGTTAACTAGTGATTGCTTAACATAAATATACTTCGATCAAGTGATCTGTAGAATGCATTCATGATTTTGATCCTAATAATAATAGTAACAATACACATTTTCTCAACTTTTGCTTTACGATTAATAAAAAGTTACTGTGTGTGGCTGCATTAAAAAAATCAACCAAACTTACCAACAAACAAATAATTAATTGCTTGACAAATGCTGACACAAGCCTTAAGTGACATGAGAGGCAGGCGATAATCGTGCTTGTTGTACTCCTCCACTCATTATTATGATAATGATTATTCATTATCGTTAACAATAATCATCATTCTCGTACGCACTAAATCTATTTGGACCCTTCTCCCCCAACTATATGTGGACAAAAATCTAAACCCTACCTTTTTCAACTTAATTAATTTATTAATAGTGAACCCAAAAAAAAAAAAAACTAAGTCAATACCTAACCTAAGTACACACACTAAAAAAGGTTTACCATATAAAAAGAATCTAAACTAAGATTCCCCCTTCCAATTAGAGGAAAGACAGTTCTCTTATGACAACAAATAAAGAATCTGTCATTATTTACTTGCTTACTAGTTAAAATAATAAGGGGAATTAATCAGTGCAGGAAAATTACAGAAGGCCCAAAAGTGGTAATATTGTTAACAAGTGGTAAGAAATATAAGTGAATTTTTTTTTTGTGCATGTGGGCTGGCCCACCACGATGACCAGCCATGGGCCTGAAACAGAGAAAGGGGAAAGAAAACACATCAGAACCTCCACAGTGGTAAAAGAAGAAGAAGCAGTTGGTGTCGTTTAGTGTAGGGGAGGGATATAATATATTCCCCCTAAAATCTCCATCTGCAAGGCTGTGTTTGTTTTAATTGGTAGTTTATGTACAGACCACAGATGGGTCTTATTCACCTTTTCCTAGTTTAAAAAATATAAAATAAAAATACAAAAAAAAAAATTCTCCTTTCAATTTTTTTGAATTGAATTAGTACAATGAGCACACAGAGTTCATAATTCATCTATCTCATTCATTTGGCTACACATAGGTATTGTATAAAGTTCGTGATTTAACCATGTTTCAACCATTTTATACTGTTTAAATTGTCTATTGGCTTAAGACTTTCGATGAACATTTTTCTTTGGGGGTACTTGAACAGAACTAGGGCTTGCTTAATGAGTTAATGTTAAGCGCAAAGGCATAATGTGGGTGTTTATATTTGGGGTAAATGCCACATTTGGTCACCAAAATTACTAAATTGTGTCATATTTAGTCACTAGAAAAATTTAATATCAATTTTGGTCACTCGAATTACTGAAACTTGTCACATTTAGTAACTCTTCCGTTAGTTTCCTTACTAATGGAGTTGGAAGGAAACTAACGGGAGAGTGACCAAATGTGACATGTTTCAGTAATTCGAGTGACTAAATGTGACATGTTTCAATAATTCGAGTGATAAGAGTTGGGACAGATGCTACAGAAGAGTGACCAAATGTGACATTTTCAGTAATTCGAGTGACCAAAATTAATATTAAAATTTTCAAGTAACTAAACATGATACGATTTAATAATCCCATACTCTCAGTAACCAAGCGTGGCATTTATCCTTATATTTGTGTTTGTTTTCTTATAATTTGGTTGTGGGGATGTCTGTTGTGTATGGTTGTGGTGGTGGGTCTGAAATTTCTGAAGGAAGAGAGAGTGCTGTGCTGGCTGGGGCTTTTGCTGCTGCAATTCTGCATTCTGCATTCTGCAACTCCACCACCACGCCACGCTTCCTCTTCTTCCCTCTCTCTCTCTCTCTCTCTCTCTCATCTGGCTGTTGTTTTTGTGATGCAATCGATTGGCTGTATTTGTCTTCACCTCTCTTTTTTACTGCTTCACTTTCCTTCCCCCATGGCTGTTGCATAGCATTATTGTTAAGTTTAACTGTTTAAGTGTTAAGTCTAGTAGTGCAATGTCAATGATACCATAGTATACAATCCGCAATTGAATCTCTATTAATAACTCGAGTAGTTAATGATATGATATCTGAATCATCTGTAACCGAGGGATTTTCTATTCAAATCTCACTGATCTCCATTTCTCGTGTTAATCACACATGGTGATTAGACATGTACATAAGTGACTTTCGTTTAAATGCACATCCTCCTCCTAACCCTAGCTGCTACATTCCATTCTCCAAAAATAATTTCAAGTTTTCTTATCTGAAACACGATATATAATAGCGTCATAAGTCATAACCTTCATTATTTATGAAACAAAATTTAGAAAAATTTGACGGCAGATAGACCAGACCAGTCAACAATAATGATAATAGCCAATCCCACTCCAAAACATGTTTCAACATTAGTAACAGTAGCAGACTCACGAGTATAGAATTCCTTTTTACTGCTCAAGAACTGCAGCAACGCAAACCAACTGTTTTTGGCCTTCAATTACGGTGCTTTGTTTCTTTGATTTCTGATTTTATTTTTTTCTTGGTATGCAATAGGCTGGCACTGGCAGCAGGCAGGATGAGCGGGCTTAGAGTTAGTGGTACAGCAACAGCAACAGCAGCAGCTCTCACGCCACCAATAGAATTCCGAAAGCTGCACAGATTCAGCGCCCAGGCGAAAGCCCTTCTCTTCCCCAGTCAGTTCCCTCTCCTCTACATTCATCTATAGTCTATACTTTTCAACTTTACTTATTTACTTCAAATATTATCATGAATGAATTTGGGTCAGAAAATAAATGCAAAATCCTTGGTGTATTATGTATAGTTGTGTATGGCATTCATTCATATGAATACAATGATGGATAGATTAGAGATTGCAAAAATAATCGTAATCGTGGATATCCGCCCGAATCCGTCCTAGTTGGGTAGGGTAAAACCCGGAGGAATTTTATAATGCTATATAGCATTGGTGCTATAGGTTTTTGCCTTTATGATACAACTTGAAATTGTACCTTTAACGTTACGGTACAATTTCAGATTGTACCTATACTTTTTGTACAAATTCTTTTATGGTACAACTTAAACTTGTACCTTATGTGATGGTACAACTTTAAGTTGTAAAGTTGTACCATAACATAATGATACAAATTCATTTATGGTACAACCTAAACTTATACATTTAATGTTATGGTACAACTTCAAGTTGTACATTAAAGCACCAATGCTATATAGCATAGTAGAAGTGCTCGTAAAACCCGAACCAGAAGGACTTTTAGTAGGTATGGGTAAAACCCGAACCCGAATATTGCGGATAATGGGTGAGCATGGTTTTTCTACTATCCAACCCGAACCCGCCTAATTATACATATGCATATGTATTTTGTCTAGTTTTAATCATTATTATTCTTTAACATATTTTATATTTAGCATACAAATACAATATTTTCTTCAAATTGTGTTGTTTTGATTAATTTTCTTTATTCTAGTGATTTATTACCGTACGTCTCCGCTTATATAATGTGAGTATATATGTGAATGTTAACATATTGGTTGGAGAAATTAATACCCATGGATAACCATGAATACCCGAAATCTAAACGGGTATGAGCATGATTTTGATTTTCTATCCATTTTTTATGTGGTATGTGTATGTGTAAAACTCGAATTAAATTAGATAGAATAATGAATATGCACTATCCGCCTCGATCCAATCCATTGCCATGGATGATGTGTGTTAGTCTTGCCTTTGCTTTTATTTCCTGTCTTCCAAGATTCCTCCTTTACAAATTCCTGCTTCGTCCCATCGCGCACTATTACTATAGTATTATTCACCAATACCATCAGAAAACACAATAAGAAGAGAATAGTAAAAAGCAGTACTACAATGTTCTCACTAGCGATGCAAATGAGCTAAGTTGCTCGTGAGCAACTCCATATTTGAATTGGGAAAAACTCGTTCGACATTTGATTCGTCATTTAACAAGTTGATCCACGAGCCGACTCGTTAGTAAACGAGCTAAGTTTGAGCTAGACCATGCTCAGCTTGATAAGCTCGCAAGCTAGTTTGACTCGGTGGCTTGTTGAGCTAAGCTCACGAGCCTGGCTTGTTTGGAGCTTGCGGAAGGATTAATTACTCTTATGAACATGAACATTATCTTGCTAATACTTATGTGTAATGAATTTAGCTGCTATTTTTAGTTTCTAGTGTGTTTTTTTTTGTCATTTAAATTCTTATGTTTACACATTTTTCAACAAGAATGATTTCAAATCGACCTCATCTTGAGTCGAGCTTGTATTAAACTTGACAAACTGTGTTAATGATCATTTACCAAGCTCTACCGAGTCGAGCTCGACCTAAATTATTTTTATTCAAGCAGAGCTTGAGCTCGAGTTCGAACTGGATTATCAAATTTCGAGCCAACTCAAGTTGAAAATTTTATAAACAAGTCGAGCTCAAAATAAGAAAAAAACTCGACTCCACTCGTTTGCACCCTTAGATATGATCTATTGGAAGGTCAGAAATGAAAATATATGGTCAAAATTTCCTATTGTATAGTATTTTTGTTGGGAATGCGACATTTGCCCTAGCTAGCCATGAACTTTTTCCCACCCGTGCCATATGGAAAATGAAAGGAAGGCCAATGCAACAACAACTACCAGAAACGAAACCATCCATCGGCTAATTGTCTTATGTGGCCACATAGAAAGCACAATACAATAGTAGTTATAACTTATAAGTCATGTTTATAAAATAGAACCCTCAGTTAGACCCTAGACAAATCTAGTAATGGAGTTTAAATGGCTGAGCAATTTTTAACCGTATGAAACAATTGAACAATGATTAAACGAAAGTTTCAACACAAAATACTCTATCGTTGATGAATTTCTGCATTAGTGCGAGCCTGAGCTTCGGAATTCATCAGGCATGAGCTAATTTGATTTCTAGCCCAAACCAGCTGATTAAACATAGACAAAGCCCAATAGCCAATACCAGAGTTGCCCTACCCACTAAACCGGGAAAGCTTTACTTATTGACTGTTCATTCAATTGTTGATAAAGCTTTATCAATTTTGTTATCGGGGAGTGAGGACGTGCTTACAAGCATTCAAAGTTATTGGATCGTGTGTGAACGATTCGTATCAGAACGAACGATTTCGAAGTGTTCGCACTGATTAAACAGAGCACCATGATCGAGTTGAACCTTTATAGTGCTGTAGAAATTGCAATTGCAGTAAGTCCAGGGCTCATCACCTGGATCTACTGCCATGGTCTATTCGACACAGCAACAGGTGATTTAGATTCCGCCGGAGTTTGAATTCCAGGCAACAACCCAGTTAGCCTCTAACAAATGTAGATCCAACACCTTGAAATTCGATTCAGATGCAATGAGCCGCATATCTCCATTAATTACCGGTCGATTTCATTAATCGAGAATCACGAGCAATAAATAAGCAAACAATGACTAGAACAAAGAGCTACAGCACCTCCTTCATGGGATTTTACAACAGGTTCATACCGCATACATAGGCTAAAGAGTCTAATTCCCAGAGCAAAGAGCTAAAGACCCACAACCAGAGATGAAAAAAACAAACCAGTGGGGAGGCTCTTTGGAAGTGTCTACTAATCCAAGCCCTCTCTAAGGATTTATACACATAATAGATTAGAGAGCTTCCATCAAACAAAAGCTTTGCTTACCCATGCAGCTCGCCCGACGGTGTAACTTCAACAAACAGCTACACCACCACTTCAAAGTCTTATCTTCAACTGTTTAAGTCTTCCAAAAGTATCTGAACTGGGAGTGTGCTTTATCTTGCCGCCAGACGGAGGAGGTTCAGTCATCCAAGGTACCTGTCATTTGACCATGAATCATCACTGAGACGCTAATGAAATCATCTTATCATGTTCCAGTGAAGTTCTACTTCAAAAAGGCTGCTCTAAGTCTAATCAAAAGGGAAACGAATGGAAGATTCAAACACCCAACAGTAAAGCTTGGAAGATTCAGTTGCATGATCAACAGACCATTAAAGTTTCTAATACTTTAGAATAAAAGATGAAGAATGGAAACTGGAGAAACAAAAGAATGGCATGTATAACGGAAACCAAACAGGACCGTTTTGATTGCTGAATCTAAGTTGATCACAAAGCATCAACTAATCAATATGAGAAGAAAGATAAAATCTTTCAGACAGTCCGACACTAAAAACTGCTGGAGATCATATCCTGCTAGCCTAATATCTGATTGAATTTCGATATTATGCACTTTTCCCAATCCTATTATCCCCTTTTGAGTGTTCCTAGTCTCTTCACTTCCTACTTCCAGTCTTAACTTCTTCCTTCTCAATATCATATTTCTTTCCTTCTTTTACTTCCCTCTCTCTAAAGCTTTACAACTTCTTCTGCTGCCCCAAATGATAAATTTGACACTAACTAGGACATCACAAGTATATCAGAGTGGTTCCCAGCACAAAATTTTTCCTACCTTTCACCACGAAGCATTTTCAGTCTGATCGTTGACGACGATTATCTCCATCCAATTAGCATCTACGTCTTGGGTTAGATTCTTCACTGATCCACTACTACCCCCAAACGAACATGTCAGACATGAACAAAGGACATAAATGATTCATAACGCGGGAAGATTTACTCCTTAAAGAGGCCAGTTTAAAGGACAACAGTCAAAAAGCAAAACAGGAACATGGTTCTCCAAGCAGAGTGATTGAATTCGGGACAGATGGAACAAACCATGACGACCTGCTGAGTGCTGAGCAATTAATTAGCCTGAGAGACCATCTAGCAACTACATAGTTAAAACCATCCAGCTGTAAAGTCATTGACTTTGTGATAAGTTAACACTTAACAGCCAACTTCCTTCATCATCCTATATCAATTCCACTAATCACCTTAGCTAGCTTCCAAGTTCTAAATATACATCAAACAATATAGAGTAATTTCAAGGAAAGGGAGAGCTTTAACTTTCAACGCCCAATTACCATGCCTTCCATATTTAAGGACCAATCGGGCGCTTACATTTCCGGCAAAGCGCCCACCAATCAACAATCAAGTACTAAATGAATTCTATCGAACAAAAAAGAGTACCTAAGGTTTTAAGTTCAGCTAGTTTGGCAGAACAGAGACAAATTCGACACAGAATCAAATTTACAGGCACTCTACTCAGTCAGTTGATGTCTAACAGAAGTTCCTCACTAGTTCTGGTTGCACCTTAACGAAGTTGATCGTATTTGTCAATAAAGTACTCAGATTTTGCGTGGCATTTACCACTATGAAACAAATGTGTCAGATCTGTCAGTAACATCTGCACAGAACAATCTATCAAATGGCCACACATACAGTAAAGCACTGAACTTGCACTGACAAACGAAACAGAACAGGGAATCCCATCAACCATGCAGCTCAAGTATGAATGCAAACAGAGATAGTTACAGCTATATTACCCGAGATTGTAAACGCTAATGGGGTCCAGAAGCTGCGGCTGCTGCTGATGGTGATGATGTTGGTCTTCCTGCTGCTGCTGCTGCTGCTGTTGATGGTGATGATGCTGGACTTCCTGCTGCTGCTGCTGATGTTCCTCTTGTTGCTGCCCCAATCCAACACCACCAGTTCCCACTGCAACGGCACTAGAAGGAGTTCCCCTCGCTTCCACAAATCTCCACAGGTACCACGAGGCCACAGACCTATAAGGCCTCCATTTCTCGCACAACTGGTCCATCTGCGACGGCCGGGGCAAATCCTCCAAATTGTACAGCATCTGCACTCCTTTCCTGATCCCCAAGTCGTTAATCGGCAGAACATCCGGCCGATGAAGCGAGAAGATCATGAACATGTGGACAGACCACGAACCTATCCCACTCACCATGGTCAGCATCGTGAACAGCGACTTATCGTCCATGGCCACAATCGAGGAATCTGATAAAATCCCATTCTGATACTTCCTCGAGAGGTCGTAGAGGTAGCTGGCTTTCCTCCCCGAGATCCCAATTTGACGGAGCTGTATCTCGGATTGGGCGAGGACGGTTTCAGGGCAGACGTTGGATTCGCCCCCGAAGAGGGAGATGAAGCGGGTGTAGATCGAGGTCCCGGCCTTGAAAGCGAGTTGCTGGTAGACGATGCTCCGGGTCAAGGCGAGGAACGGCGTGTGGAAGGTGTCGAAGGTTGGGGGCGGGTAGCGATCGATTAGCGAACTCAAAAGAGGATCCGACTGACGGAGGTGGCGAACCGCGATGTCGACCTCTCCTTCGCAGGATAAGGATCTGGCGATTACCCTCGGCCCGACCACTAGGGCGCGCTGCTGATTCGCAGCCTTGGTTGTTCTCGATGATTTCGCAGCGGCGGTTCTAGCGGCCGGGGTGGCAGCGGTGGCGCTATGAACTTCCTCGGCAGCGGCGGCGGTCGGAGTGGCTCCGTCCGGAGAGAGCTTGCGGATTTTTCGGGGGCGGGAGGGGATTTTGGCCAGAGGGGATAGGGTGGAGTGAGGAGGCGGAGGAGGGACGGCGGTGAGTTCGGTTGGCAGGAGAGTGACGGAAGAGACGGTGGCGGTCTCGATTGTGGTGATGGAGTCGGGAGCGGCGGCGGCGGAAGGGGAATCCGGTTGGGGCTGGGCCTCCGAGTGAGGCTGGGATTGGGTTTGTTCGCCCATGTGTGGCGGAAGTAATACGGCGAAGAAGCAATAGCAAAAGCTTAACCTAGCGATGGCGGAAGAGCGGCGGCGGCGGCCGTGGCGGAGAGGGTGGTAGAAGGGGGGAAATTTTAGGGAAGGAAGGAGAAAGACTGAAAGAGTGGTATTAGTAAAACGGTGAGTTATGGGGTGTGTGCGCTTTGTCGAAAATATGCGGAGAGTATTTCTTTTTTCCCTCTTCCCACGCTCCGCCATTGACGCGTGCGGTTTTGGGTAGGCTGCACTTGTTGGATTGTACCGGGCTTGTAATTTGGGCCGTACAAGTGGGCCTTGAGAAACTACGGATTTGTTCCTAGGAAAAATGAAGGTTTTGATTAAAACTTGAGTTTTATAAAATTGGTTAATTGCAAGGTTGGTCATTGAGATTACTAAAAACGTCCATGTTTAGTCATTGAAAATATTTAATTCCACTTGTGGTCACTAAATTTAGTATAACAATTCAATTTTGGTCACTCTTCGTTAGTCTCCGTCTATCTCCGTTAATTGAGACCGTTATGTGCTGACGTGGCAGACGGTTTCATCTAGTCAGCCTCATTTAACTCAAAATTGATGAAACCAGACCCGCCACGTCAATAAAACTTGCTATATCACCTTACCCAGCCCAACCCAACACTTGACCGGTCCGACCCATAAACTGAGCTACTCAAACAAAATAAGAAACTATCCACTTTTCTTTTCCAGATCTGAAAGCTATCTTGCCTCTAGTTCTTCATTTTTCATGACAGCTAATTAAAGAACTTCCAACACACAAAGATGGGGAACTTGAGAACACTTTGCATGACTGGTACCATCTCCCCCTAATGCTCCACCTCCTCCAGCTCCTTGTCATGACTACCATCAGAGGCCTCATTGTTTGGGGGGGAATCACCGTCCCCACCCCAAACCCAAGCGGTCGATCTTCCACCACAACAATGGCTGCTCCACCGTCTCCGCCTTCCACAGGGCGTCCGAGGCCGTCCTCAGAGCCGTCAAGCCTCTTCCTTTCCACTCCTCCTCATACACTACCGTATCGACATTCGGATTGCGTAAGAAATCGCTTTGTATCCCGTGGAGCCTCTCCCGATGACTCAATGGGAAGAGGTTCTTCTGGCAAAAGGTCAAAGCTGGAGTCCTCCACAACCGGGAAGAAAATCACCAGTTGGAATGAAGTATCATGAGCAAAGTGAAAAGGAAGAAGAAGAAGAGGCGCCACAAGAAGTCATCAATTCCATCAGATGCTCCTCGTCCTAGCACCTATCAAACTTTCCTCTCGTCCCAATCCAGCCCATTTCGCTCTGACCCGCCACAAGAACTCATCAAGTTCTGGGAGCTAATGTCCCGCCTCGACCCTATCGACAGACGACAGCTTCCGCCTCTCTCCTATTCCTCCATCTCGAATGGACCCGATTGATGAAATCACCCCTTTCTCCAACCCGAAGCCGCCACCGCCACAATAGAGGAGCTCTGCCCTCCCATCCAGGAAAACAGAGGGAAAATGATGCTCGACCTTTGCCGCATTCAGATCTGGGTCTCAGCCGGAGAAAAATGAAGGAAAAGGCAGTAGTTCCTTTTGGTCTGTGGCGCCGCCGCCGCCCGCGATTATTGCGACGACCGGGTGAGGTATCACTTGGGCTGGTTGTTAAACGAATGGCAAGAAAAATGAAAGAACTAGAGAGAATAGTTTTCAGATCTGGAAAAGAAATTGGATAGATCCTTGTTTTGTTTGAGTAGGTCGGTTTATGGGTCGGGTTGGTTCGTAGCTTAGGTTGGGTTGGGTAAGATGACATGGCAAGTTTTAATGACGTGGTGGGTCAGGTTTCATTAATTTTGGTTTAAATGGGGCTGATTAGACGATTTCGTCTGCCACATAAGCACATAACGGTCTAAATTAACGGAGACTGGTGGAGACTAACGGAGAGTGACCAAACTTGGACTGTTTTACTAAAATTAGTGACCACAAATGGAATTAAATATTTTTAGTGACTAAATATGAACGTTTTTAGTAATCTCAGTGACCAACCTTGCAATTAACCCTTTATAAAACTATGGATATATGATGAAATTGTTCCATTTGGTTTTTGGTCAAAACCATTATTTGTTTGTTGGATTTCATGATGGATTTGATATAATTATATTTGTGATTATATTAGAAATTTACCTAAGTACCCTTATTGACCATAACTTACTTTTACAAAGTTTTGCTATAAAGTATCAACCAATTTCCATCCCATAGCTCCGTCACACTACCATACAAGAATAAATGAACATTATAATTGTTGGGCCCATAGTTGAGCGGTATTAGATCCTAAGCCCAAAAAGGAATAGACAGGCCAGGCCCAGGGGAGGCCCAAGAAGAGAGCCTCCATGAGGAATCGTGCTACGCGGTCGTCCTAGGGACAAGACAGGTATAGGCCGCCTGACATAAGGCACAAGTCGTGATAGGAGGAGGTGATCTTTCTCGGATACGGACCTCGAAATCAGCAGGACTGAGCATTAATTACCCGCCATAGACGGTCCAGGTAAAGTAGTGCGTTGCTAGGACGCCTGACAGAGCATTTAATGCTCTAAATTTCACATAGTTGGGCATAAATACCCTCGTATATGCATTGATGGTAACTCAACTACTTCCTCTATCTCTAATACAAACATATATTCTTACTTCTCCCTCTAACTTAAGCATTGGAGAGTGTCCTGGGAAACCACCCACAGATCCTTGTTTTGTAGTGGTTAGGAGTACACCCAGCATAAAGAACAGACGCCTCACTCTCTCCTCAAACCGCCTAGAACATTCTAGTCTCAAACAATAATCAACAATGAAATTCCTTAATCACCAACAACTTCACATTGTTACACGTCATTATACGATTTCATATGGTTTTCAATGTTGTAGAGTATCTTTTGAATTCATCGTGAAGTGTTATTTCCAACCGCTTTCGTGTAATGAATGATAATGAAGATTGAATACAAAATTAGTAGGCACAACAAGTTGGTCATTAGTAAATGAAATAAGACAAGTTGGTCATTAGTAAAATAAGTGGGGATAAAATGATGTCATCATGGACTTTGTACCCAAACACAAATTCCACCTCTTGAGGTGGAATTTTCAATTCCGTGGGGTCCACGGATTTGGTCCCTCAAAGTTCGCGGACCCCACGGATTTTCCCCTCCTAAATCCATCAATCAAACAATGGATTGTCTCCAAAGTCCATAATGGTTGGGTTTTATGCACCAAATCTATCATGAAATCACGAAGCAGGTTGTTGGTAAAAACAACTTGTTTCTCGACGAGTACTCAGGGTTTTTAATGAGCCAAACTATTCGCGCTCGGACTCCAACTCGATAAAAGCTCGTTCGATTAAAAAAAATCTCGACTCGTTTATAAGTGAGCTGAGTTTAAGCTCAGCCTTGATCGGCTCATAAGGCTCGTGAATTAGATCAATTAGGTGGCTTGTTGAGTTCGACTCATGAATTGTCTCATTTTGAGCTCATGAAATGTCTCAACATTGTGCTAGAGAGCCAACTTGGTTATGACTTACGAGAAAATTTATCTATCTTATGAGTTGGTTTGTTAATGATGCATAGATTTATTAACTTGTATATCTCACCTCATGAGATATTTAGAATTAAGTATATATGTGAGCAAATATGTCTCATATATGTCATGAATATCAATATAAATAGTAGGGTATTTAATTTATAAACGGAAAAATACACTTGTATAACCATAACTTTAACACTTTTGACAAATATAACCACTTTTTGAAAAATACACAAATATAGCCACTTTTTGAAAACTAGTTTGACAAATTTGGCCATTTTTGTTAAAAACTTTAACTCCGTCAGTGACTTTGTCAATAACGTAAACGTTATGCTGAGGTGGATGCCACATCAGCTCTAATATGACACACCCATGCAACCTGGACGCCACATCAGATTTTAATTAAATAAAAACATTAATTTATTTTAATAAAAAATTCATAAATGATTTACCCCTACCACCGCCTGCAGCAAAAAAATCCCCCTTTCCTGAAGAAACCCTAATTTCATAGAGCTTTACAAGCCTTTTCCTCCAACTACTACCGGGACAACTAATCTTTCCTCATGTTCAAGCATATCGACCGAACCCATTTCCTTTCTTTATCACCCTAATTCATCCCAATACAAAAGAAGGAAGAGAAGAAAGAAATACAGAGTTCCTCGGAGACCATTGCGGAATCAAGCTTTATTTACGCTTACTTTCTTCGCTTGCCTTTTAAGATGCTAACCTCCCATATTGTCCCTCGTTAGAGGCTAGAGCGAGTGAAGTATGCCGATTCAATCTTCAATTACCAAAGCAGGATCTATGGTTCGCTTGCTCCTGCGGGAATATTCTTTGTTGTGCGAAGTTGCTCGCATTTGAATTAGAAAAAGAAGGAGAGGGGGAGAGTTCGCATATAGAAACTGAGAGGGAGAAGGTTTAGAATATGTTCGACCGTAGGGAGAAGGGCGAAGGGAAAGGAAAGGTTCCCCTTCTTTTTTCTTCTCTTATGAAATTTCGAGTTAGAGAGAGGCCCCTCTAAGTATCAATTGAGTAGAGCATGTTTCTCGACGACTATATCATTGGGTAATAGTCATTACTCATTGTAGAGAGGGACAAGCCTATAAGAGGTGTATGATTTTTCATAGGGTTGGGGCTTTCGCTCTAGTGGCATGTTTCTCTTTTAATTAAGTAGCCCCTTATTCACCTCGTACACTGAGTCAAGCAACTTCTCCTTTTCTATCATGAGCATTTGTTTGGAAAGTGCTTTTCTGCTTGTTTGAAGGAGCAGAAAACTACAAAAGGGGTAGCACATAAACCAAGCTATGATTTTTTCTCAATCGCATAGAAGGACATGAGACAAAGAGAAGGGTCTATCTATTTTATTTAGTTATTCAGCTAAACCAATGCCAATGATTCGTTATTGGAGCAAATAGCAACTCAGAAGCACTGGATTCTCTTTCGGATAGGCCCTGGAAGGAGAAGTAAGGTTGTAAGAGATTTTAAGCGAGAGGAGGTACTGAACCGGAGCCACATCGAGGTTCCGCGTGTAGCTTGTAGACAGAAAGCAGAAAGAGAGCCCGAGGTGCTGACCCGCAGCGAGGCAGGCCATCTATCCCGATCGGGATGATAAGGACTTGTCCTTACTTGAATTAAGACTTGAATGAAGAAGAAACCCGGAGGATAAACAGTTGACGGCCTTGTGGGATTTGAGAAGGAGTACCCAAGTGACAGTCCCTTGTGGCCTTGTTGGCATTTTTGTTGTGAGATTTGTCTCGTAGTCGGGTGGAAGTCCCTCATATCTAAGGTGGAGCTGAAGACAGTGGCGAGGGGTCTGGCGGTGGAATTGGTAGCAACGAAATCTTGATCTGGCGGCGGTGAGGGGTATCGGAGAGGGCGACAGAGGCAATTGAACTATATCATTTTCTAAACTATTTTTCTCTGGTTTATTATCAGTCAAAATCTGCAAAACTGCATACTCTTAAACTAGCACAAAGCCCGGCCTATTGGCCGGGGAGGTGTATGTGCCGTTCAAATTCATCATGTGGGGTTTATTTGTGTTTTTTGCCATGAACTATCTAGGTAAATACTCAAACTATACGCTACAAATATGTTTAGAACGTAATGAAAACATGAGAAAGACAATATGGCTGACAAAAGAAATGCAACTTATAATGAGATATACATTTACAAACAAAGTGTTGCCTATATACAAAGTCTATAAACGACAACATGTGAGTTACGTTGTTTCCTATGTATTTCCTATGGCACATACATAATCAATCTTCACTATAGAAGAAAATGAGTGTCCTTTGATGGATTACAATATATCCACATAATATATTTCTAATTTATCTTCTTTGTTGATCACGACACAAACTGTGCATTGAAATTATATGATATGAGTGAGAGATGACATGTTGGAGATATGTCAAAAGTAAGTAACTGGAAAATCAATGCTTTCTATTATGTGTCCTAGCGATATATTTTAAATATGATGAGCAACAATGTAGTGAGTCTCCTGCAGTTTTCACCATCATGTTAAACATAATTATCAAAAAGAGCCAATTCAAATATGAGATACGTTCTTAAGTAAAGATACATTTAAGATAGGAACATTGATATATATATATATGGTAGCGTATTCGGTGCACTCACTTTTTTGGATGTATTTCGTGCACTCACTTCATAACCGTCATTTTAAACATGTGATTTATGTCCAAATGATGTCAATCATCACTTATGATGTGATGAACAATAACACACATGAATTTGCACAAAAATCATTAAAGATTTACTTTAATTTGAAGGATTTAGAGTTTAGAGATTTAGGGTTAGGGTGTTAGGGTTTACAATTTGGGGTTTAGGGATAGATATCAAAATTGGAGGTCTAGAGTTTAGGGTAATCCGCTAATTAGTTGTTATCATATGTTATATAATCATATTACATTAATTCTACAAATTAAAATTCAAAATCCGACACCTTAAGACTAGTTTTTGAGTTGGGTGCATTGAACACACTCATTTTTGTGAGTGCACCAAAGTAGTCACCATGTATATATATATATAAAAGGTTAGCGTACGCCTGTGTTCACACTTGGTTTTTGCACTTCAATATATTTCGCTGAATCAGAACCGTCGGTTATTATTTTTTTAGATTAAATGAATCTTGTGGCTTGGGTTAGAGAATTAGGGACTGAGGTTCACCCATTAGAGGTTGGGGTTTATAGTATCATGCCCCACACTCCGGTTATTTCGTGCTTTAAATAGTAAAACTCGACGGACGCACAATGTACGCCTGATGTACGCTAGCCTGAACTATATATATATATATATATATATACCCTAACTTTTCTTGGGTGAACCACAGTCCCTAATTCGATTTGATATACATTTTCTTTATCGTTATCTAAGTTTATGATGGATATTTTAGATGATAGTGAACATATAACCAATTTTATTATGTACACTATATATATTGAACATCACCAACTTAAGGGTTCAAAACGGGGTGCAATTATTGACAATTTTGTTTTTTAAAACTATATAGTTACGACTTAACTCTTCAATAGCCGAGAGACCTGACCAGATGATAAATTCTAGAGAGGATGGAGATGCAAATAGAGCATGCAAAATTGGAGAATAGCTCCAAAGTTGACCCCGAATTGCATTTGCAAGCAACTTTTGGAAAATCTGGTTGTTGAGGCTTTCGAGGAGCTTAAATAAATTACTATTTGAAATGTTGGTACTCAGTATTAAGTATTAACTCTTACCACATAAATAAACGAACTAAAATTTTAAATAATATGGCCACTAAGTCAATTCATAACTCCCCATTTATATTTATAGGTATAACTCTATCTCATTTAACTATTCAGTTGTCACGTATACTAAAATCATCTGGGTTAATTTGTATGAACTCATGTGGCAACTAAGAACAATATAGCCACTACCATCATTACTTGGTATCACAACTAACTAAATGTGTCCAACCAATTTCATGTCCCAAATTATCAAACACTTTAACCAACCTAAATATAACCAAGTTTTGATAGATAATTCATTAGCAGTCACTCACAATCAACAATAATGCAACTTTCAATTGATATATAAGTTCATAAAGAAATCACCATAAACATATTCATCAAAGTTAACCTCAAATTAATTTTAAACCTCAAATTAATTTCAAACGTTTAAGGAATAAACTACCAAGTATAAGTTTTGAACCCTACGTTCTCTCTCTTCCGTTCTCTCTCTTCCGTTTTCTCTGAATCGTAAATCGTTGGCCGATGACGACCGTCACCGGCGGAGCCTCCTCAGGTGCCGTCGGTGACGGGCGCACCTGGGCGTCTCTTTTTTCGATCAATCCTGATTTCAAGCTGGACTATTACGAGCCGGAGTTTGTCAATGGGTCATTGCGAATACCGGCGTCTGTTATTGATGAGGGTTCAAAGCGCTGGGTTAATTGTCTCGTTGGGCAATTCCTTGATCGACCGTCGTCACTGTCATCTATACACTTCTGGGCAAATTGGATTTGGGGACATGACGGGGCGATTAGGGTTTCTTGGTTGGGGGAATCTCTGGTGCTCTTTCAATTTCCGACGGCGGAGGTTTGTCGCTGGGTATTCGAAGGGGGGCCATGGCACCACAAGGAGAACATGATTTTTCTGCGGAAATGGGAACCAGGTATTCAGCCTCTATCTATCGATAACTCGGTGGTTCCAGTATGGGTTAGGATATCGAACTTGCCTTCTGAGATGACTACGAATGAGGGGTTAGGGCGGATTGCAAGTTCTTTGGGTAAGCCGCTTTGTATGGATTATCCTACGAAACAGGGGACAAGGCTCGGGATGGCCAAGGTTTGTATTGAGGTGACAGTGAAATCGAATATGGTCAATAAACTGAGCATCACCCCGGACGGCAAACCTGAAATGCTTGTGGATGTGGAGTACTGTCATGTTCCGTGCAAATGTTTGAAGTGCAATGTCTTTGGTCATGACTGCTCCAATCCAGGAGGGAGGACGAAACAGATTTGGGTAGTTAAGCAGCCAAGAGTGTTGGAGGTACCTCAGGATTCCAGGGATAAAGGGAAAAGTGTTGCACTGGAGGAGGCTACTGAATCTGTTAGTGCGAATGCCATAGCTGAGGTTTCAGCACAAGCTACTATTGATGGAGTTGATGCACAGTCTAGTCAATCTCCTGCTGGATCTGTGGAGGGTGTCATTGCTATGAATGAGGATGGGTTTCAGGTGGTTACAAATAGGAAGAATCGTGTTAGAGCCCCTGCCCCTGGGTCGATTAAGAGTCCATGGAATTATACTGGTAGTTCCTCGGGGAAGTTGTCTGTGGATGAGGTGAGTTTTCCATCATTAAATCGTGTTAGCCCCAAGCAAGTTGTTGCCCTCCCTGCTCCTGTTAAGGGTAGAGGTCGAGGGAGGAAACGTGGCAAATGAAGGTACTATGTTGGAATGTCAGGGGGTTTAATGCCCCTGACAAGCACTCTGCAGTGCTGAAGAAAGTTCGTAGGTTGCAGTTAGATATAATAGCTATTATAGAAACCAGAGTAACAGAATCAAATAGTGTAGGTATACTTACTAAACAGTTTAGTCAGTTTCAGAATATGAACAACTACCCCAAATCCCCTAATGGTCGAGTCTGGTTACTTTGGAAGGAGGGTTTGAAGATAACAAGGGTTGAGGATGGCAAGCATTTTCTAAAGGTGAAGGTCTGGGGAGTGATTCCATTTATGCTTATGGTGGTATATAGCCCTAATAAGGAAGCTGAGAGGTCAGAATTGTATAAGGTTCTGCTTTCACAGAAGGACAATCTTCCTATGGTGGTGTTGGGAGATTTTAATGCAGTAATTTCTCCAAAAGAGACTTCAAATCTTGATGTTATGAATCCCAGCATGGTAGAGTTCCAGAACTGGATTAATGAGATGCAATTGGTTGAGCATAAGGTTCTGGGAGCCTGGTTCACATGGTGGAACAAGCAACAAGTGAATCCAATAGCTAAAAGACTAGATAGGATACTTGTAAATGAGGCTTGGCTTTCTGGTTTCCCCACAAGTACTGCTAATACCACAGCTCCTGGTGTATCTGATCACTGTGGTCTGTTGTTGCAAGTAAATCCTCAGTTGGGAAGCATGCCAAAACCATTCAAGTACTTTAAATTCTGGTCTAGTCATCCATCTTATTTTGAACTGGTATCTGAGGCTTGGAATACTGCTGTCAAGGGCCGTCCCTATTACATATTCTATGGTAAGTTGAAGCAGGTGAAGTTGAAGCTTAAGAAACTTAACATGGAAGTTTATTCTGACATTTCTTCTAAGGTTCGAGGTATGGAGCAGGAATTGGAGCAGGTACAGATGTTACTGTTAGGCAATCCCACTGAGGAATTGGTGGGCAAGGAAAAGGGGCTTGCATTGCAATATTGTGAAATGCAAAAAGCTGAGGAAAGTTTCTATAAACAAAAGGCTAGAATGAAAGGAGTTCAAGAGGGTGATATGAACACTGCATTTTTTCATCGATCTGTCAAAATTCACACTCACAGGCAGCAGATTACTAGGCTTGTAAACTCACAAGGACGAGCAGTGACAGATATAAAGGAAATGGGGAATGTAGCTGTGGAGTTCTATAGGCAGTTAATAGGGAAAGTTAATCCTGATGTGATTATGCAGCCTTCTAGTTTCTATGAGCAGTTGTCTCTCAAGAGATTATCAGAGGAGGAGTCTGTGGGGTTGATTGCTCCAGTTACTAGGGAGGAGATAGGGAATGTGTTCAAACATCTTGGAAGGGATAAGGCCCCCGGGCCTGATGGTTTTCCCTCAGAATTCTATAGACTACATTGGGGACTAATAGGTGAATTGGTGGTGGAAGTGGCTAAGGAATTCTTCCAGTCAGGTATAATGCCATCTATCCTGAACTCAACCTTATTTACTCTGGTTGCAAAGATACCTAGTGCAGAGAATATGAAAGATTTTAGGCCGATTTCATGTTGTAACACAATCTATAAGGGGATATCAAAGATCCTGGCCAACAGGTTAGCAGCAGTTTTACCTGGTATTATCTCCAATTCTCAGTCTGCTTTCATTAAAGGTCGCTCCATTTGTGATAATATTCTTTTAGCTTCAGAATTAGTTAAGGATTATCATCGCAAGAATGTTACTCCTCGTTGCGCTGTTAAGATTGACATCATGAAGGCGTTTGATTCTGTTGACTGGTCATTTTTATTCACTGTCCTTGAAGTAATGGGGTTCCCTACTAAATTCATTAGTTGGCTTAAAGCTTGTGTTTGCTGTTCAAGGATTAGTGTGGGTTTGAATGGGGGGTCTTGTGGTGTGTTTGCTATGAAGCGTGGTCTTCGTCAAGGGGATCCATTGTCTCCCTATTTGTTCACAGTGGCCATGGAAGTTTTTGATGCAATGCTGAAACTAGCAGTAAAACAAAATCAAGTTCCTTATCACCCTAGGTGTAAACCGTTAGCTATAACACATCTATGTTTTGCTGATGACTTGCTAGTGTTTACAAATGGATCTGTGAGGGGTGTGGCTGGGATTTGTAGAGTGCTGGATGCATTCTATGTGGTTTCAGGATTAAAATGCAATCCGGATAAATGTCAGCTATTTTGCGGAGGAATTTCTAAGGAGGAGCAGCAGTTCATATCGTTGGTTTCCAAGTTCCCATTGGGTAACCTTCCAGTCCGGTATCTGGGAGTTCCTTTAATCACAGGGAAGTTATCTAGAGCTGAATGCAGAGTGTTAGTGGATAAGATAACTGCCAGGGTTAGAAGTTGGAGAGCAAAAACTCTAAGCTTTGCTGGTAGGTTGCAATTAATCACTTCAGTATTGACTAGCACATTACAGTTCTGGATGGGTGTGTTCTTACTGCCTCAGTATGCTATAAAAGAAGTTGAGTTGGTGTGCAACAGGTTTCTGTGGGATGTTGATGACTCTGTTAGGAAGAAAGCAGTAACATCATGGAAATTTTTGGCTCGTCCAAAAACAGAAGGGGGGCTAGGGAGATTTTGCTCTCTGGAATAAAGTGTGTGTGCTAAGGCATTTTTGGGCCATTCTAATTGAGGAGGGGTCACTATGGGTGGCCTGGATTTTGAGGTATAGGGTTAAGCAATCCTCTATTTGGGATGTTAAAGGGTCAGCTGCTGGATCGTGGATCTGGAAGCGAATTCTGAAGTGTCGAGAAATGGCTAGACCATTTATTGAGCAGATTGGAGATGTCTTGAAGTGGGATGGGGAGATAATGAAGGTCTATTCGGTTAGTAAGGTTTGGAACTCGGTAAGACAGCATGGGGCTAGAGTTCCATGGAGTGAATTTGTGTGGGGTAAGTATATTGTACCTCGTCATGGATTCATTCTATGGCTCATCATACATGACAGGCTGAAAACACAGGATAAGTTGATTGAATGGGGGAAACAATTATCAGGATTGTGTTACCTTTGTCCAGGGGGTATGGAATCACGATCCCACCTGTTTGTGAGTTGTTCTTATGTCAGATGTATGTTGTCCTCTCTTTTGGAATATGCAGGTCCACCACCAGAGTTGACTAACTGGCAAACTGTTCTGGATTGGTGTGTGTCAAACTGGAAGGGTAAGGGTAATGCATCAAGTTTGAATAGAGTGATTTGGAGTGTTGCGTTAAGTCTTGTTTGGAGGGAGCGGTGCTCAAGAATGTATGGAGATAGGCTTGCCAGGGGCCCGATTCAACTATGTGAGGAGGCAAAGAAGATTATTCGGTTTAGATGTCAGTTAGACCCGGCTTTATTCAGCTGTTTAGAGTCGAGGGGTTTGGGGTAGTTGGAGTACTGTGTTTTTCTGTTTCCTTGTGATGGATTTTGTGTACAGACAGTTTGTGCCTTGAGAGGAGCCTTAGCAATTTGCTAATGGTATCCCTGTTCTTAATGCAATTTTGATATAATTATAAAAAAAAATAAATAAATAAACTACCAAGTATATAATAAATTGGTAACTTGAATAAATAAACTACTCACACTAATAATAACTCATCTTCTTATTTTATTGGTAATTTCAAATATTTTTTTTATCATGTTGTTGAATTAAAACGACCAATATCAATTAATGGTCATGCTAAGCGATGAGTTGATTAACAGTTAAAAATTCTACATCTATTATACATATATAATATTGTAATATTATATACAATATTTAAATTAATGATATTTGGGTTACAATTTTAAGATTATTTTACATTTATAAGATAGAAAAAATTAAATTAATTATTCTAACTATTTAGTTGTCACGTATACTGAAATCATCTGGGTTAATTTGTATGAACTCATGTGGCAACTAAGAACAATATAGCCACCACCATCTTTACTTGGTATCACAACTAACTAAATGTGTCCAACCAAAACAACAATAAGGCCTTCGGGATAAAATAAGGTAAACAACACATTCGCTGCCGCCTACACCGCAGCTGGGGGTTCCCTACGCCTACAGGGCCACACCGGGGTTCCTGCCGCATCCACCTCTGCCGCCTCGACCTTTGCCGCCGCCGCCTCCACCTCCGCTGCCGCCTCCTCCGCCTCCGTCGCCGCCGCCGCCGCCACCTCCGCCTCCGCGGCCTCGACTAATAACGATACTCAATTTTTTTGTCTTATACAATATATGTCATTCAATGAATCTCGAGTTTGGACGAACTCTCAACTAATGATGTTGCTCAGATGACGACAACTTAGTTAGAATTTTTTATAAAGGTACTTCAATATTTCATAAATTTGGTCATCCCAATTGAAAGTTTACCGTCTTAGTGTAAGATCATATTTGTCTATCAAGACACTCAATTTAATATCTTATATAATATGTACCAATTGTTAATTTCTCAAGTTTAATATAGACTCACCTTCAACTCATGGTCGCTGTTTAGATGTTGGTTTAGAATCTCGGTCCAAGATACTCACACACTATCGAGGGTTCTAATCTTAACATGGTCCATTGTTGTATAATTTTCTAACTTATCAAATATACATTTGCTAAAATTTATTTATCTTTGGTGTTTGTTTTGAGATAAACATTCCACTAATTATACTAATATCTTCATTTTGTTAGTGTAATGCCACATCTATTGTCAATATCTAAGCATGATCTTATACTCTAAGTAAGAAAACGCTATCTGGACCATGAATTAACCGGATTTGTGGGCATGATACTATACCCTAACCCTTGATGAGTGAACCCTAGGTCTTAGTTATCTAAATCATAGAGCATAACCCCTAAGACTGTGCATGTAATTTGTTGCATAGATTTTAACGAATCATGACCATTGATTTTTGTTTATAATTAAATTGATCTTAGGTATGAGATTTATAAATTTAAGACCTAGATTTTAATCTTTAAGTGTTTGAGAATAATACCATATGCAACGCCAGTCAATTCAAGGTCTAGATATCATTTTCTTACTCAAGGTATGTCATAATATACATATATAAATATAAAGAGTTTAATGTATTTTTAAGTGTAACTAACACCTTTGTTTGACCGAAATATGTAAACCGT